ATGCATTAACATAATATACAAATGTAATTTCCATTGTACAAAAGTCTCCAGCTTGTAAGAACCACTTTAAGATCCATTTTGAAATAGCATCTGGTTCGTATTACAATTTTTACATTATTAATGTTATATCCACTTGAATGGTTGATTTGCGCTATATAATTAATATCAATTAATTATTATTACCAGGATGATTTGTTATCTTTGCTGTATTTGTCATCTTTGTAAAACTGGAGTCTCATAGACATTGAGGCCCATGCCAAACAAGCCCCTCCTGATACCTGACACCGACTCCAGAGCTTCCGGTGCCTAATCAAAGTAATCAACAAAAATTAGATACACTTGAATTATTGACGATAGCACGCCTGCACAAGCGCGTAAACGCCATACAAGGCTCCATATAATCTATACAAGAAAGGTTTACGCACGTCTTCAGTGAATAATTTCTCAGACTGTACGTGAGCCTACAATTATTTGTACGCTTATGAATATTTAATTAGTGAGAGTACTTTTATACGGACAATCACACGTACGCACTCGTTGTACAAACGCATACGTACACTGTTGTAATTGTACACACATGCATGTCTAAATACAATACAAAAGTGTATGTACATACTACTGACGCACGTCACGCAAACATGGCTGGCGTATATACACAAACATACATGCAATCCAACCCACATATGTACACAAATACATATACACATACAAATGGATATACATACATTGTCCACACAATCATGTGCCCATAGACACACACACGTACATTGATACACGCACAGACACACACACACACTCATGTACACACGTAAATGCGTAATAAGATAGAAATATCCAGATGGGCGCAATTAATGCCTGCCTGCGTGTAACTGTTTACTTTTATGATTAATCTTTTTTATGATTATAATGGATGTATGGATGGATGTATGGATGGATGGATGGATGGATGGATGGATGGATGGATGGATGGACGGACGGACGGACGGATGGATGGATGGATGGATGGATGGATGGATGGATGGATAGATGGATGGATGGATGGATGGATGGATGGATGGATGGATGGATGGATGGATGGATGGATGGATGGATGGATAGATGGATGAACAAATAAATGAATAGAAAAACTTCACAATGAACAACAAATATTTAAAATTGAAAAAAAAAATAAAGTAATGAACGATTGATCGAATGAACATGTGAACGAATGAATTATAAAATATCTTTGCTGATTGATGAACAAATCGAAATAAAAGATAGACAGATGAATTTGAAAAATGAGAATGATTGATGATCGTTCGAATGACTTTTTTTCTTCCTTTTACGTTTCTATATTTCGATTAAAATTGTGCGGTCGGGTGATTTTATCTCCAAAAATTTTTACAAATTATTATGCATATGATAATTCTGGTTAGGAGGAATAAGTATTGTGCAGTTTTTTGGTTCTGAATAAATAAATAAATAAAAAGGTAAATATAGGTTGTATATAAGTAGATATATGTTAAAGTAGGTATGTAATTATAATGATAGAATGATAGCTAAGTTATAAAAGTAGTTGACGACGGGACAGCAAATTTACAGGCATGAAGCAATAAAATCCTCTCTAGTTAATTATGGAATCAAAAAATTCGATTGACGAAAGTTTCGCTATGATTGTTTTATTCTGTGATAATGATAATGGTGAAGATGGGTACGATGATGATGATAGTAACGATGGTGAAGATGATGACGACGACGACGACGATGATGATGACGATGTTGGTAATGATGATGATGATGACATCTCGAGTCAGTCCATGTCATAAATAATGTCCTTGTGATGTTTCTCTGATGAACACCATTTTTGCTCAGCCATGTTTGTTTGTTTATGTGTGTGCGTGTTCGCGCGCGCGTACGATGTTGATGGATGCGTGAAGCAATGATTTGAAGCGAGAAAGAAAATTTCTTGCGTATGCATATGCATTGATTTGTTGAAGGGTGGAATGAAAGTGATGCTGATGATGATGACGATGGTGATGATGATGGTGATGTGATGATGATGACAAGAAGATGATGAGTACATGACGATGATGATGATGATGAAGATGATTTCTGTCTGGGTAGGTATGCCTTTATGTTTACGGATACGTCAAAGTGAGTACGTGGTTTGCATTTTTTATTTCGTTATAAAAATGAATTTTATACATAAAATTAATTATGTATAATTAATCATATAATTATTTAATAACAATTAAATAGAGAATAACAAATTTCCTGTTTATGTTTTATTTTTTTTTCCAAATTAATTTTTTTTTTATGAAGATTATCTCTTCAGAAATTAATTCTTCAATCGTGCCTGAAGAGATGAGACGGATGAAATGGGATTAAAACACGGAATGGGATTAAGACATAGGAATGCGAATGGTGGTGTTTTGCTCGCTGCACCAATTAAATTTATGAAACTTTTAAAAGTTTTTCTCATTAATTAAATTTTACATGTGTCAACACGTCCATAAATATTAAAATATAAATAAATTATTATGAACCTGCAAGTTAGGAAGAGAGAGATAGAGAGAGAGAGAAAGAAAGAAAGAGATAGAGAAAGAAAGAGAAAAAAACAATCAGGCAGATAGACGGAAAAAAGATTGTAAAATAGAAAGAAAGATAAAAAAAGTAAGAAAAAAACGACAGTGACCGAGAAGAAAAGGAGAGAGAGAGAGAAAGAGAAAGAAAGAAAGAAAGAAAGAGAGAAAATAAAAAAATATATGAAAAAAGAGAGAAAGAAAGAGAGAATAAAGAGAGAGGAAGAATTATGCTTTTCACAGAGATTTCCACATTAAGCTGATGGCGGTTTATTTCATTGCATCTTTTTCCATTTCATCAAACAGCCATTCTGAAGACATTGTTCGTTTGCTTTTGTTTTGTTTCTCATTCATTTTGTTGTTTTTTGGGTTTTGAATCATGTTTTGTTGAGTTTTTTGTTTGATTTTTGCCAACATATTATAAATAGTCATCATACGTTTTTTTAAAAATATGTTTCATTAATTTTTAATTTAATTTGCATAATAATTGCAGTACTGTTTAACTATTTTGTATTTTAATTATTGTAAATGATTTATCGTAATTTAAAATTTAGTTGAGTTTTTAAACATTTATAATCATTCAAGCTGAGATTTTTGGCGTTTTTTATCTTTTGTTTTTTAAATTTTTTTACACCTACAACTTTTTAAAAAACTTTTCTTCGATTTCAATTCCAGGCTACTGTAAATAGTTGCGCTTTGAACTTTGACCTCTTGACACTAACTCCAATTTCTACGAAAACTTTTAACTTTGACCTTGACATTAACTCGGGCCCCTGAAAAAAAAACCGACCTTGAAAATTACAAAAAAAAATATCCATAGACATTATCATCATCTTCATTGAAGAAGACATACAGAGAAGAATGACATGCAATCAATTTAATGAAAAGATAGATGAGTTTATTGACTGACTTAACAAATGACTTGGATGAAATTGAAACGTTGGAAACACGCACGCACATGGTACGGACAATCAAACAAACACACTAACACGCACACATGCTTACACGCACACATGCTTACACGCACACACATCATTCAAACATTTATACACACACTCATACTAATTATTATCATCGTCATATTCATCTTCGTCCTTATCATTCTTATAGATATTTATTGTCCCATCGCGTACATACACATACACACACACACATACACACATACACACACGTATAAGATATAAAACTAAATTACAATTAGCACATGTATTCCAAACAAAATGCACATATACCAACAATTATTATGTTAAATATATTATGTGAACCTAAACACCCAAGCGATTTATAATCGTTCTCTTCTTCTCACTTCTTGCTAACTCGTGTTAAACACTCCTTTGCTAAACCTACCTTTGCTTTTTCTAGCCCTTTTCTCTAGAACTCTCTACCTCTTCTCTGACTACTTCTCAATCACACGAAGTTCAGAGCCGATCTCAAGACTATAGGTGAGCATAGGAACGGAAATCCCATAATTCCCATAGGATTCCAATAAGAATTGGTAAAACTTGATTTTTGGGAATGAAAAATTTCGGGAACGTTGTCCTAAATAGGAATTCTGGAGAGAATCGGGAATGAGAAAAAACTGGGAGGGAATTGGGAACAAGTTTCAATTGCCGCTCACCTCTCATGCCTACAAACATTTCAACATATACTCTACTGTAAACTTATACGAGTCAGTATACTTACACACATGCTGAAATTCTCAAAGATGAACCAATAAAAACCGTTTGCAAAACTTTTGAACGTTATATCACTGGTATTGATTAATCTTGATATCATATATTTGCACTAATAATCATTTGCTTAATTTCAATTATCATCATTATTGTAATAATTACTATTTATTATTATTATTTTATTACTATTATTTTATTATTATTATATTATTATCATAATTATCACGTTATTATTGTTATTATTACTAATATTAACAATACCTTTATTATTATCTTATGATTATCGTCATTCCATTAATAATAGCGAAATTAAACCGACGTTGCTTAGCAAATAAGTGTCAATAAACAAATTGTTAGTACGTCTGGATAGAGCCATGTCCATAATTACAGTGGCCCGAAACGTAGTGAATGAGGAGGGGGTTGGTTTGGGTCTGCCAGCCCCCAATGGTGAAAATTTTTTTTAAGGATAAGCTTAAATTTAACATAATTTCAATGAAAAATTGTAACAATTTATGTTAGTGTCATTTTGTTTTTTTTTTGTTGTCATTTTTGTTGTTGTTGTTGCTGCTGCTGCTGCTATTGTTGTTGTTGTTGCTGCTGTTGTTGTTGCAAGTAAGTAAGTAACAGTAACTTTTTGCTCTTTTTGTTGATGTTATTAACAATTATGTTGATAGTGTATTGGTTTTGTTTGGCAATGGTAGCTGTTATTTGTGTCCTTTATTGCCAAGGTTGTATTGTAAAGTTGTTACGGTTTTTTCTTTTTAGTTTACGATGATGATGTCACTGCAGACGATGACGCGACTGAAGTAGATGACGACGATGATGATGTTGCTGTGGTTATTGTAGTAGCTTCACAAGCGTCTGACTCAATAATTTTCTTCTTTCTTCTTCTTTTTATTTTTGTCGACTGAGCTTCAGTCTCATCTGTGATGAAAAAGAAGAAGATGATGATGATGACGACGATGACGATGATGATGAAGATGATGTCATTTTTTATTTTTAAGTTCATTAGCGTGGCGATTTATCTTCAAGTTCTACTATGCTATTATCTTAATGATGTAGTCATCATCATTTTCATCATCATCATTCTTATTATTATTATCATCATCACAATTGTCGTCATCATCTCCAGCGTCATCATCATCATCTTCATCATCATCACCATTAGCAAATAACTTTCGTCATCATCGTCATCGTCACCACCATCATCGTCAAATTTTAGCTACAAACATCATCGTCGTCGTTTTAATCATCGTCATCAATATAATCATAATCAAAACTATCAAATCAAACCTGATTAAATCGTCATCACATTATAATTAATGATGACGTCACTATCAACGCCATCCCTATGCCAATGCTACAATCATCTTTCGTCATTACGTTCATTAATCATACACTTATCAGAATAAAAATTGACATCGTCGTCATCAATGGCGTCATCGTCATTATCATTCGAGTCATCACGTTTATTATAGTCCTTTGTGGTAGACTTTTGAAAAAAAACTTTTCTACTGCAGCGCTTGACTTTTCTGCCTTTCATTATCGTCTTGGATTTAAATTGTCCCCATCCTTTTCTTTTCTTATCCTTCTGTCATCGTCAATGTCCTTGATGACGTCATCGTCGTCGTCGTCATCATCGTCATCATCATCGTCATCATTATCATCGTCGTCATCATCACAATCACCATAGTCAGAATTATATCATTGTTGAAATCGTCATCATCGCAAGCATCATAGTCATTATAACCATTGCTACAATCCTCATTATCATCATCATCAACATCACTATCACCACCAAAATCATCATAATTATCCTCATCACCATCACATTCATCACCATCACAATCATCACCATTACAATCATCGTCATCAACATTTTTCCATCATCATCATCATGTCATCATTTTTTGACGACGCATCTGCATCATCGTAATTATCATCAGTGAAACGGAGGAGAGGTAGAGGGAAAGAGAGAGAAAGAGAAAGAAAGAGAGAGAGAGTGTGAGAAAAAGAGAGAGAACGATAATATTTCATAATGACGTGCCTCGTTAATTTCAGTCTTTCGACATTTTGCAAATTTTTTTTCAAATTAAGCAAAAAATTTCACCAAAATCTATTTCATAGAAATTTTTGAATTTATATATTTTATTTATTATATTATTTTAATATCAGGACTAATAAAAACGTGTATATGCAAATAATTACGCATTTAAATCTATTATAAACGTATATACATATATACACATACATATTCACACGCACACGTGTATAAACATATATATACAAATACAAAATTGTATGTGTTGTATACACAAAAATGTGTAGGCATATATCTAATATATATATTTGTACAGAAAAGTTTTAAAAACTCTTATAAAAATGCCAGCAGTTTAAATGAATTCAAATTTTGAATTATTTTTTGTTAACATGCCAACCTGTAGATCTGATTTTTTTTATTTTTTAAAAAATTATTTCATAAAAATTATATAAAAAAAATTATTTCGGACAATGAGATTAGAATTTGTTACATGTTTAAAATTGAAAGAAATTAACCGTTTCGAATTTAAACTTTTAACATTTGAAAGTCAGTCAGTCACTCATTGAAAGATGCATCAGAAAAGAGTTTAGCTATCATGATACTACTCACGATGCTATCATATTACAATCTTATCTCAATGATACTCATTGTATCTTATTCATTATCATCATCATCATCTCATCCATTATCATCATCACAGATATAACTATCATCATCATCACAGATATAACTATCATCATCATCATCTCATTCATCTTCATACCAGATATAATTATCATCATCACCATCATCATCATCATTTCCTTCTACATCATCATCAAAGATATAGTTATCATTATCATCATCATCATCAAAGATGTAGTCATCATTATCATCATCATCATCGTCGTCGTCGTCATCATCATTATCTCCTTCATCATCGCATATATCATTGTTGTCGATATGCAACCAAATCTCCCATCATTATGAGGCTCATTTTCACGTCATTGTCCTAATCACAATCTTAATCATTTTACCATTAGAACCAAAATTTTTATCGTCAGCAATAAAAATAATAATAATAATATATAATAATAATAATAGTAATATATAATAATAATAATAATAATATAAAATAATAATAATTGTGGTAATATAAAATAATAATAATAATAATAACAATAACAAGTGTAATTAAGATGACCAGTTCTGAATTTTTCTTCCATGTTCGTTCAAGGCCACTAATTCAATAAGACATTAATCATAAATCACCAAGTCGGAACGTTACTAATGATAATGTTGGTAACATTTATCATCATCATAATCAGTATCGTCATCATCATCATCATCATCATCATCATCGTTGTTCTCGTCACCCATATTACTATCAACTATCATATATATTAGCACTGCTTGTTGTATTTTCGCATCGTCATCATCGTCGTCATCATCATCTTCTTCATCATCGTCATCATCATCATCGTCATCATCATCTTCATCATCGCCATCATCATCTACCTTCTTGCAAGATGAGTTGCATGGATGTGAGCAAGTCCTCCAGCGAATCGCCACTGTCGCTTCTTCATCGTCGTTCGTCGTCGATGAATGAACGAATGGATGGATTGATGGATGAATGAGTAAATGAATGAGTGAATGAATGTATGAGTGAGCGAATTAGTGTGGAATGAAAGAATGGATAAATGAATGAATGAGCGGGCGATTGAGTGCGCGTGTAAGTTAATGAATAAATGGATAAATGTATGAATGAATAAATGAATGAACGAACGAATGAAAAACAGAAAAATGAATGAATGTATGAATGTTTGAACAAATAAAATAAAATAAATGTTTTTATTGAAAACAAAAATTTAAAGAACGTGATGCGGAAATTGAAAAAATATTGCAAAATATTAATCAACCAAGAAAGAAGCACTGAAAAAATCGAAATAAAAAAACTCAACCATCAAACTTGTGTGTTCTTGAACGTGTGTGTGTGTCTTTGTGTGTGTGCGTGTTAGTTTGTGTGTGTGTGTGTGTGTGTGTGTGTGTGTGTGTGTGTGTGTGTGTGTGTGTGTGTGTGTGTGTGTGTGTATGTGTGTGGAAGTGTAGGTGTGTGTAGGTGCGTGTGTGTAAGTGTGACTGTGTAACAGTTCTTAACGCAAACCCCGCGGCTTCAGAGCTCCCAAGCGTACCTTTTTTTCTTTAAAAATTTTAAAATTTTACAACTACTTCCCAGCAACCAAAATGCTAGCCTAGTTAGTAAAACTGCCGGCCGAAAAACGTTTGCTAACAATTTCAAAACTACCTGGTTTGAAACATTTGCTAACTAACTCAATAAAATTGGACGATTAAAAATGAATAAAAATGAAAAAATTTTAAATAAATAGACAAATATTTATAATAAATTAACTAAATTATACGTTTTAATGACCTACCTGCTTATGCTTGATTCGGTTTTATCATCTGTAACCTGATTTAATGAAATAATATTGCCCAGTCAATTTGAGTACAAATTAAAAGAACATCCATTCGAAAATTAAAATACAAAAAATACTATCATCATTATCATCATCATCATCATTATGGCCACCATCATCATCTTCTTCATCATCATCATGGCCGCCGTCATCATCTCCTTCATTATCATTACTATCATTACTATCATTAGTATCACAGCCACCATTACAATCATAACCAGCACCATCTTTACCATCATCATAAAGATCATCCTAGCTAATATAAAACCAAATTAAGGTAGATGGCCCTACCCAATTTTACTTTGCGCACGTGTGTATATCATGAAGGTATCTAACTACCTACCTACCTACTTACCGTACAAGTCGCCAGCTTAATTGCATTAAAAGTCATCAGTGTCGAACATCGTCATCCCATTATCGTCAGATCATCATGACGTCACCGTGACATCATCTTTACCATTACAACGTATTAAAATAATCATAATAACATCACCATGTTTCATTTATGTTCTCTACTCTCACGGCTCACTGACAACACAAAAGACAGCAAATATGATACAACAATCTCTCCATTTAGAAACGCACACACACGCATACACACATATATACACACTCACACACGTACAACCACACACGCACGCACACATACACACACACACACGAACGAACACACAAAGAAATACATAAAACAGTGTTAAGAATCCCCACTTGAAAAACTGCTATACCTACTATTCCCAATAAACATGAAAGTTATCCTAGCAAACACACGTGTGATTTATTCAATACTCACATCTTGCTTCCATCGCTGTTCAAACTATGCTTACAATACAATCGTCACATTCATTCCTTCGTTCATTTCTTTCTTTATTCATTCATTCTTCCTTTCTTTCTTTCTTTCTTTTTTTCAATTATTCATTCATTCATTTATTCACTAACGCCTCCAACAAGCCATCTAGTTCGTATTGCAACGATACACGCATCATCATCAAAAAAATTCACCACCACCTAAAACCACAGCTGCAACAACAACAACAACAACTACCACTACTACTACTACTACTACTACTACTACTACTACTACTACTATTACTACTACTACCTAACTTCTACTACTACATCTACTTACTGCTTTTACTACTACTACTATCACAGCTACCACTACTACCACTTAGCTACTACCACTGCTACCACTATTACCACTTAGCTACTACTACTAATACTACTACTACCACTACTACACTAACTACTTCTAATACTACTACTACTACTACTTCTGCATCATTTAAAATGTAGTTACAAAATCAACAAAACAACAATGTATATTACTATCTTATATTACAACAACAACAACAACATCAACAACAACATCAACAATGACATTAATATCAACAACAACAATGGCACCATCAACAACAACAAAAATAACTACTCATTTATATCGCAACATCAACAACAACAACAACGGCCTCAACGACATCTTGCTCATTTATATTTCATCGAAAACAAAAGCAACAATGTTGCTTTTGTTGTTTTTTGTTGTTTTTTTGTGTTTTTGTTGTTTTTTCTGTTTTTTTTGCAATGTTGTCATGTACTCCATTGTTTCTTTGTTGCATCAACAAAAAAAACCAGCATCATTCACAGCAACGACGTAAAATCGACTATTATTCTAGTTAAGGTTATTATGGTAACATCACCTCAACAAATACCAAATCAACAAATCAACAACAACATCAACAACAACATCAACAACAGCATCAATAACAACATTAACAACAATAACAAAATCAAAAACATAATCAACAACACCAACATTTAATTACACTTCTTCGTGTGTTCCACCAACAGCAGTAACCTCATCAACAACAACTAGACGTCAACAGTCAACAACAACTAAGACAACAACAACAACTAAGACAACAACACCGACAACTAAGACAACGACATCAATTACAAAAAAACATCAAATCCAACAACAGTTCTCATCTTATTTACATTGCAGTAACTGTTGTAAGCAACAACACCAGCAAGTAATGAATGAACTAAGATATAAAAAACAACTACAACCACAAAAACGCCAACCACAACAACGACAACAGCAGCAGCAGCACTCACCTCATTTATACTGTAGCGAGGCAAACATCCATCAGCCCCAAGACCTGATTGCCTGCCCTCTTCTGGGATTAATTGCGTGGATTTAAACAGATGCCCGTCAAAGAATAATAATAAGAAAATAATAATAGTAACAACAATAACCACAGCAATAATAACAATAATAATAACAACAACAACCAAGTCGGTCACCGAGTTAGCTCAGTTGATAGAAGTGCCATGTCTCACGCTGCTATTACGCGATGGCTAGGTTCGAATACTGTCTGTCTGTCCGAAACTTATAGGCGTCTGATGCGGTACTGGCGCGTGCAAACGTAATGTGTACGTGAGTCGTGTGTTGTGGATAGTACAGCCTCTGTGGCTAGAAACTTTAACTACAAGTTGTAAGAACAACAGTAGCATTAGTAGCAGCTACAGTAGCAGCATATAGTAATGGTAGTAATAGAAACATTAATAGTGGTAGTAGTAGTTGTATTAATTGTAGTAGTAGTAGTAGTAGTAGTGATAATAGTAGTAGTAGTAGTAGTAGTAGTAGTAGTAGTACTAGTAGTAGTAGTAGTAGTAGTAGTACTAGTAGTAGTAGTAGTAGTAGTTGTAGTAGTAGTAGTAGTAGTAGTAGTTGTAGTAGTAGGTAGTAGTAGTAGTAGTAGTACTAGTAGTAGTAGTAGTAGTGGTAGTAGTAGTAGTAGTAGTAGTAGTAGTTGTAGTAGTAGGTAGTAGTAGTAGTAGTAGTAGTAGTAGTAGTAGTAGTGGTAGTAGTTGTAGTAGTAGTAGTAATAGTAGTAGTAGTAGTAGTAGTAGTAGTAGTTGTAGTAGTAGTAGTGGTATCTATGTTGTCTTTGTGCTACTGTTATTAATACATTGTGATAGAGGATGAACGATCCATGGCCCAGACGAGTCCAATCAGAGGCGAGTCAATTTGAAAAAAAATGTAATGGAAATAAACTGAAAAATATAATTATTAAAGTGTAATAATAATTATTATTGTAATAATAATTATTTTTAATATTTTGTTGTTATTACACGCTAACTAGCACGCATGAGCATACAATTTCAACATAAAGTATGTATACAAAAAACTACGGAAATATACAATACATAAAAAATAAAATAACATAAAAAATGTATACAAAAAAACACACAAATATACAATACAAACAAACGCAAACATACGATGCAAACATACTTACAAAAACACACACACACATACAAACACACAAACAAACATACAAACAAAAACATATAAACACCAACATACAAACATACAAAAAAAAATACAAACACAAACATACAAACACACGCAACCTTTGCATCTTTTGGACTTTTTAGGTTTTTCAGAAGGTTCTCTCACAGAGGGAGCTGTTGTCATGGTTACGATATTAATTGATGAGACAGCCGTAGCAGCAGTAGTAGTAGTAGTTGCAGTAGCCGCATTAGTAGTAGTAGTATTAGTAGTAGTAGTAGTAGTAGTAGTAGTAGTAGTAGTAGTAGTAGTAGTAGTAGTAGTAGTAGTAGTAGTAGTAGTAGTAGTTGCAGTTTTATTTACATCTGTTGCTTTATTCTGCCGACCGCTATCAGCATGACCACTCTTAATTTTCTTAGAATTATCACTCTTTTCTTTACTATTATCAGCGCCATTGCCACCACTAGCAGCGACATCATTATCAGGATTATTGTTTCTAGAATGTTCTTTATTTTCGGCGTTTTCATCGGCGTTTTCCAATGTTCTCATTAGCGTGGCGTTGCACAAGATGTTGACAATGGTGTTGCCTGGCTTGTTCCATGATTTTCTGTGGGACAGTGGAGCAGTAGCTGTTTGGTCGTCGTCATCGTCGTCTTCATCATCATCTTCATCATCTTCATCACCATCTGACGTGGTTTGGCGGTAGTTTACAACTTATTTAATTTTGATGTTCTTAGTAAGCGAATTTTTTAGTCTCAGTTGTGACTATACTGTCACCTTTAGGTATATGAAACATGACAGTATTCATAGAATGATGTACGTGTGAGCATGTGTTTGTGTATATGTATTTATTTGACATTTCTGTTACATTTACAGTTGGAATTCTTGGTTAAAGTGGCCTATCCACAAGTTTATCTTTTTTGGTTATCCTTTAAATAAATAAATAAAATAAATAAATGAATAGTTTAAGCAAACATTCCTGTATCATCATCTGGTGATTAACTGGTGAATAAATTTAGGTTAAACATCTTTGATCGTCATCATCTTAATCATCTTAAGTAATGTGGCGAATTAATTCAGACACAAAAAAATTATTTTTATTAATTTCGTTTATTTTAAAACTTTGGTTGATGATACCAAATAAATTTTAAATTTTTTTTTGTTACCGGTGACATCATTGTCAATGTTAAAAATAATAATTATCATCATCGTCATCATCATTATCAATTTCATCATCGTCATCATCACCATCAGCCGCATTCCAAACCATTTTCAAGATTGAGCTCCTTCAAACAGCTGACTCCAGTCTCTAGACCCCAACATTTTTCCGGTTTGAATGGGGATTCCCAGGATTGTCTTACGTCATCATCTTTGTTGTTGTTGTTGTTGTTGTTGTTGCAGCTATGACGACGACTATAGTTAGTGACGTCATCGTCGTCGTCACTGAAACCGTCTGTCAGATGACTTTCATCAATTTTGTTGCTGCTGCTGTTGACCGCTTTATCGGTCCAGTTTATGACATCATCATTATCATAACTGTGGCCACCGTCATCATCATCGTCACCGTCATCATCATCATTATCACCATTAGTATTGTTGTCATTATTAATTTTATTGTTTCGGCTTGAAACATTCGCTTCTTTGCAGTCGGCATCATTATTATTGTTCTTTTTATTGTTATTATTGTTATTTCTATTATTATTGTTAATGTTATTATTAATTTGTTTATTCATTTCGTTTAATGTGTCTTCAAATGTCGACTTGCTTATGAACTGATTCCTGTAGAAATCCTATTAGAAATATGGACAAATAACAACAGATAGGATGAAATTAATCAGTATTTAGCATAGGTTCAATTTGCCATTCATGGCATAAAAAAATTTTTACTTTAGGGTCATGAAAATTGTGCGCCAGCCAACCAACCAAATAACCATAGAACCAACCAATCAATCATCCATCCAATCAACTAACCAACCAACCAACCAGCCAACCAACAATCATCTATTTATAATTTATTTATTTATTCGTTCATTCGTTTACATTTTTATCTATTCGTCTGTCTATCTATCAGTTCATCTATTTATTCAATAATTTATTCATTCATTGGTTCGCTCGCTCGTCTGTTCGTTCATTCATTCACCCATCCATTCATTCTATCTTTCATCCATTCATTCATCCATTCATTCATTCATTTATACATCTATTCATTCATCTATTCATTCATCCAATCATTCATCCATTCAACCACTCATCCATTCATTCAATCAATCATCCATTCATTTATTCATTCATTCATCAATTCAGTTATTCATTCACTCATTCATTCATCCTTTTTTCCGTCTATCCCCAAACCTGGTTTTTCATCAGCAGCCTCTTCCTTTCCATGTAATTCTGTTGATGAATGTTCTTCAATTCTGCCTGGTATTGCTATTTTGTGATGGATGGATGGATGAATGGATGAATGGATGGATGGATGGATGGATGGATGGATGGATGGATGGATGGATGGATGGATGGATGGATGGATGGATGGATGGATGGATGGATGGACGGACGGACGGATGGACGGATGGATGAATAGATGGATGAATAGATGGATGGATGGATGTAGTTAGTCATTTTTACAATCATCCTCAATTCGTCATCACCATTATCATTTTCATCATCATTCTCATTTAAATAGGAATGGCAAATTAACGCTTCACATCCTCATAGTAAATGACTAGTCTGAATCAGCCTGCATTCGAACCCAGTCAGTGCAACAATGGACACGGCGCCTTTAACAGTTACGCCATCTTACACCATCCAAATAGTTATCGTTATTATTTTAAACGTCATCATCTTCATCGTCATCGTCAACTTACGGCTTCTCTATTTTTTCTCTCCTCCTCTCTCGACTTCTTCAGCATCTCCAATCGGCGAACATCAGCAGCAGCAACAGCAGCCTCATCGTCGTAGCCACCAGGACCACGACCACCACACGCGCTCAACCTACGTACTTCCACATCATTCGAGTATCTTCTGTGGTTACGTTTCTATGGGGAATGAGTGAGTGAGCAAATGAGTGAGTGAATGAGTGAATGAGTGAGTGAATGAGTGAGTGAACGAAAGAACGAACGAAGGGAGCAAACAATCGAACGAGTGAACGATGAAATAGTAAATGACTGAATAAGTTAATGTGAATTAACGGAAATTTAAATTTGTAAATGAAATTTTATACAAATTCATGTAATCAAGTCTTTATACAAAACTGTTCGCCATAATCCGACCTGGATTTAAATTGCTCCAAACGAACTTATCAATCAAACGCTCAATAGATTTAATAAATAAATAAGTAGACAAACATTCAATCAAACAACCAACCAATTAATCAATCAATTAATCAATCAAACAACCAACCAATTAATCAATCAATTAATCAATCAAACAACCAACCGATTAAACAATCAATCAATCAATTAATCAACCAATCAATTAATCAATCAATCAACCTACCTACAAAACAATCAATCAATCAGCCAATCAATCAGCCAATCAATCAATCAACCAATCAATCAACTAAACAACCGATCAATCAATTATTCAGTCAACCAATGGCGGAATTAATGTCGAGACCATTAATGTTCTTACAAAGATTTAGAACTTAATGAATTAGTCATTCTACTATAACGCTTTCGAGAAAACGAATTAAAGTGCACGCTTTCATTCTCCGGTTGTGTTTTTAAATTGAAAATTTTCTGCTTTTGAAATTTTGTTCGGACTAATATTATTGTAATGTAAACAAATCAATCATTCAATCAATGAATCAACCAGCTAATCAAAAAACCCTGTAAGCCTACCAACCAACCAACCAATCAACAAACTAATCAACTAGCCAACCAATCAGTCAATCAAATGATAACAAACCGCGTATTCAAAGATATCACCCTGAGCATTAGCTTTGTTAAGCAGGGCTAATTTCCTCCTCTCAAGAAATTCTTCATAATAACTTTTAAGGGATAAAATCGTATTCATTCATTCATTTATTCAACCATTCAATCATTTATTCATTCATTCGTTTACTCATCACTCATTCATCCATTCATTCATTCATTTCATCATCTATTTAAAATATGTGTCTGTGTGTGTGTGTGTGTGTGTGTGTGTGTGTGTGTGTGTGTGTGTGTGTGTGTGTAGAAAAGAATGCCAATTTATACCAAACTAACGCTACGTCAACATCACCATCATCATCATCTTCGTCATCATCACCATCATCATCATCATCGTCATCATCACCATCATCATCATCATCGTCATCATCACCATCATCATCATCATCGTCATCATCACCATCATCATCATCATCGTCATCATCACCATCATCATCATCTTCGTCATCGTTTTATCATTGTTATTTCACGAATCAATTTGTACACGGTTTCAAATTTGTATGTATGAATGCGTAATTGTATAATAATGATAATAATAATAATAATAATAATAATAATAATAATAATAATAATAATAATAATTAATAATAATAATAATTAATAATAATAATAATTAATAATATTAATAATAATAATAATAATAATAATTAATAATAATAATAATTGATAATAATAATAATTAATAATAATAATTAATAATAATAATAATAATAATAATAATTGATAATAATAATAATAATAACTAATAATAATAATAATTGATAATAATAATAATTAATAATAATAATAATAATAATAATAATTGATAATAATAATAATAATAATAATAATGGAAAATAAATAACATCCACAACAACTCTACACCACACCTGATGTTTCCGCCGGGCTTGCCTTCCATATAAACTGCTGCCATGTGTGTAATGTGAATGAATGAGTGAGTGAATGAGTGGACGAAAGAATGGATGGATGGATGAAGGAATGTATGAATGAACGAATAGATAGATGAATGGATGAATGAATAGATGAATGAACGAACGAATGAATGAATGAATGGATAGATGGGTGAGTGAATGAGTGGATGGGTGGGTGAATGATTGAATGAATAAGTAAATAAATTAGCTAATTAGTTAATTAATCAATCAATTAGTTAATGCATGGATGGATGGTTGGATCGATGAGGTTGTTGCTGGTGAATTATTGATTTTTTTTATTATGGATAGAGGTCAAAGTAGGTCACAATTAACTAGTTCATGACTTTCCATGTCCTAATTATCTGGGTCATATTTATCTAGGCCATATATTATCTTGTTCACACTTATCTAGGTCATATATATAAATATTTATTTGCGTTACTAATATTTATCGCACAGCCACATCCGTTAAGGTCATTCACCAGGTAGAATTACGTGACGGACAATAATAATAACAACAACAATAACATTAACAACAATATTATCATTTACCATTTATTATTGTGATATTTTGCCTAATAAAAGATTGTTTCAATTCAATTCAATTTACAACAACAACAGTAATAACAATAACATTAACAATAAAAATAACGATAATAATAATAAAATGAAAATAAATTTAACCATTGTTATTGTTGTAGTAGTTGTTGTTGTTGTTGTTGATGTTATTGTTTCTAATGATGTCCAATTGTTGAAAATACCTCTCGTACCTTCCCGCAACATTGTACTCCAGCAATTTATCTTTCTCCCTTAATGGCTCTTGTTGGAGTTGTTGTTGAACGCTGACGTCATCGTTGTTGTTTTTGTAATGATGGTAGTGTTGTTGTTGTTGGAGGAGAAAATGTCGTTGCTGGTAGGGAGATGATGCTATCTCCACGTTGATCTAGAATTTTAAAAGTTAATTTTAAAAGATTTATTTATGTGTGTGGCCGAATGTAATCAAATCGCACTGTACGTAGTCAGAACGTATGTTTGTTTGTTTGTGCGTGTGTATATGTGTGTCTGCTTTTGTGTGTGTGCGTGCGCGCGTGTGTGTGGTGTGTACATTGCTGTAGTTTGTGTGTTGTAGATGACGATGATGACTACGATCCATAATGATCTTGGATGATGATGTTAGCACGCCAAACAAATGAAGCTGATGACGTTGAGAAAAATTGGTGTTAGTTAGTATCAATGGAAAATAATATTCTAAGAGATGATCTTGAGTATCAAGATAGAGACAGCTGACATAATGGTTAAGTGATACAAATGAATGAGTCGACGTTTTTCAACGCTCTGAATCATACAGAAGCGGTTATACTAACACATAAACACACACACACTTAGACACACACACACACACAGAAAGACAAACACACGCACACACACAGAAAGACACACGCACACACACAGAAAGACACACGCACACATAGATGTAATTTTTTCCTCATTTATTTTATATTTTATTCATTCATCCATGCATCAATCTATCTGCCTATTAACCGTCCACAAGTCTTCTCATCTATTGGAAGGTATATAATTTCATCGATCCATTCATCCACACATCTGTCATTCATTCGTTTATTCATTTATTCATTCGTTTGTTGGTTCGTTCGTTCATTCATTCATTCGTTTGTTTGTTCGTTCATCAATTCATAGATCAGTATATAAATACATCCATTTATTTATCAATCTATCTATCGTTTCATTCACAAATCTATCCATTAATCAGTTCATGCATTCATCAATTCATCTATTTACTAGTCCATCTATTCATTAATTCATCCATGCACCAATTCATTTATCTATCAGTTCAATCATCCATCTATCCAAGCATGAATCTATTCATCCATGCACCATTCGTCTATCTATTAAATCATCTAACAAACCATCCAACCATGTATCAATTCAATAATGCATCTACCAATCTATCCAACTAAACGTCAATTCATCTACCAATACATCCAACGATTCAACAATTCATGCATTCGTCAATTCATCCATCCCAGAACGCAACGGACCTTCCTATTACTATCAGCTTCAGTACTTTCAACAACAATGGGCCTCCAGTTCGCTTCCTTCTTCTTATTCAACTCTTCTTGCTAGGATGGAAAAAAATGATTCAGTATTTCTGTAGCATTAATAAAAGTAATGATAACATTAGTGTTGTTGGTAGTTTTACTATTTTAAAAGCAGCAGTAATGGTAGAATTATTTGTTGTATTAGCGTTTTTGAAGCTGCGATAGAAGTATTAGCATTTTTGTAACAGTAGTAGTAGTCTTTGTAGACGTTGTAGTATTAGTATAATTAGTAATAGTAGTATTGGTTGGAGAGTAGCTCAGAGGGCAGAGATGTCGTTGGTTGTCTCGTTGTTGTTGCGCAATGGCCCGGTTCGAATACCATCTGTCAGTTGTGTAAATGATTCAACCTCTGGAGTGCAAAATTATAATGCATGAAAATAAGTAAAGAACAAAACATAAGATGCCCTCTGTTTTTAGAATAGACAAAATATTCCATCATTGGCCCTGTGTTAAGTAGTATTAGTAGTAGTACTGTTGTTGACTGTATTAAAAATTACTATAACCGAATCGTGTCGTATCGTATCGTATCGATACGGTACGATACGAATATTTTCCTTGATTGTATTAGCACTTACTAAATTAGTGTTAATTAATCTCGTAAATATGAACAAATAAACATTAAAACATTTAAACACAGAATTGAAACATTTGCGCAGAAAGAGTAACAAAGAAATACTAATGTGAAATATTTACGTAAGCAAAGACATACCAATTTTTTCTTTTCTTCTTTAATTAATTTCAACTTCTTTGGAATATTTTGTTTGAATATTTGAAACAAACGTTAAGTCATAATAATGATGAGAACGATGATAATCATGATGACGAGGATAACCATGATGACGATGATGACGACGAGGATGATAGGGATGACGTTGACGATGACGACGATGATGATGATGAAACAGAGCGAACAATGAACGTGACATCACGTGATGTGATGGCATGTCATGTGACTTACTTGGGCTTTCTCTTCGGATAACTTCCTTAACAATTTCCTCTTCAGCGCTGAATTGCAAAATTAAAATACTCGTTAGACTGGATATAATCATGATCATCTTTTTCATCATCATCTTCTTCTTCATCATCGTCGTCATCATCTTCTTCATCATCATCATCGTCGTTGTCATCATCTTCTTCAAATTCATCATCATCGTTGTCGTCATCAACATCTTTGTCATCTTCATCTTCCTTATCATAACTTTTCTCACCGTTTTTTTCGTCGTCGTCATCATCTTCATCATAGTCATCATCATCATCATCATCACCTTTGTTATATTCATCATCATCGTCATCATCATCGTCATCATCACCGTCATCATCATCACCACAAACCTGGATCACATTTCTTTCTCACATCATCATCATCAGCAACAACGTCATCATCTTCTTCATCGTCAACGGATTGAAGGATGTTTCTGCTCTTCTTTCTTCTTCTCATTCTTGGTGGTTCTGACGGAAAGACCTCAGTTGAGTCCTTGTAGATGAAGATGATGATGATGACGATGATGATGACGACGATGATGATGATGATGACGACGACGATCATGACGATGATGATGGTGGTGGTGGTGGTGGTGGTGGTGGTAATGAATAAATGTATACTACTACTACTAATAATAATAATAATAATAATAACACTAATAATAATAACAATAATAATAATAATAACAGCGGTACGACTAACGGCCACGGACACAAACATCTTCAGTCTTTCTTGGAGTAATGGTTTTTTAAGGATTACCTTCACTGTTGGTCGATCACTGTGGATGGATGGATGAACGAACGTGTGAATGAACGAACCAACGAACGAATGAATGAACCAATGAATGAACGAACCAACGAACGAATGAACGAACCAACGAATAAACAGAGGTAGGAATGAATGATCAAATAAAAGAAAAAACTGGATGAGTTCACGAGATAAAATAAATAAACGAAATGACTAAACGAACAATCTGGTAAACAAACTAGTAAATGAATGAATTAGTAAAGATAATATTATCACACATTAACGTGAAAATGTCAACAAAAATGTAAAAATAATAATCATCCATGTAACATAAAACATTTGAATACAAGGTTGACGGTGTGAATACAAATTTCCTGCCTGTCAAAATGTTCTCGCTCGTTTGAACGGATGATTTTTATCACAAAACATCGTCCCAGAATGACGAATATCTCAGTATTTGTCACTAACATTCTCATTATATTCTTCAAAATTTGTGTGTATGTGTGTGTCACTGTCTTTCTATGTGTGTCTTCTTTCCATGTGTGTGTGTGTGCGTGTGTGTATGTGTGTGTGCGCGTGTTTGCGTGTGTGTAAATTTAATCTAACCAGTAGCAACAACAAAAAACGCTTTCTTAATCACATTAAAGTACAACATCACAAAAACAACAGCAACAGCAACAACAACACTACAACAACACAACAACACAACAACAACACCACAACGACAACACAACAACAACAACACAACAACAACACAACAACAACACAACAACAACTACAAAACCTTGGATCTTTTTTGAAAATATGCGCTATAAGGTTTTTCAAGTCCAAACTGTAACGCTGGTTGATTGGTGGATAGGAACCTCTGTTGTTGTTGTTGACGTTGTGGTTGTTGTTGTTGTTGTGGTTGTTGTTGTTGTGGTTATGGTTGTTGTTTTTGTGGTGTTATGTGTGTTGTTGTGTCGTCTTTACATTGCATAATTGTATTGTTGTTGACTGTTGTAACGTTACAAAAATATCGCGATAGTGTAGTGGTTAAGGTGCCTGGCGAAGGTGTTGCAGTGACTGCGTTCGAGAGTAAGAAAATCCACGATAATCGCATGCATTAATGTATACGCATTTGTAAATACTTCCTTTGTGTCTACAAAATAAATTGGAAAAAATGTTTTATTCACACATTCATTCCTTCGTTCATTCTTGCATTCATTCGTTCATTCCTTCATTGATTGATTCATTGATTGATTTATTGATTGATTCATCCATCCATTCATTTATTCACCTGACTATCTTCATTACTAGAACTTTCAGGCTCTCTGCTTCAAACTAAATTAAAAACATATTAATAAAAAGATAATTATTAGTTTGTTCGTTTAATCATACATTCATCCGTTTATCTATTTATTTATTTATTCATTCATTCATCATTTATTCATTCATTCATTTATTCATTCATTTTTTCTTTGTTTCATTCATTCATTTATTCTTCAACCCATTCATCCATCCGTCTCAAACTGACCGCATGTTTCAGAGTGGTCAACTCATACAGAACACATCCCATTGACCAGATGTCACTGTATAATTAATTATGAATAAATTATTATAATCATGAATAAATTATTATTATAAAAACTGATACATACACTCACACAGACACACACGCACGCACACATACAAACAAACACATCTCCATTCTATATTTCGACATTTCCAAATTGAATATTTCTCCATCTGGGGTTGGGTGAATACCATATTGGCATTTACAAAAATTGTTAAATTGCTACTGTAGTAACAAAAGTAGTAGTAGCAGCAGTAGCAGCAGTGGCAGCTTCAGCAGTAGTGATGAAAATAGTAGTAGCTAGCTATAGTAGTAGCTGTAGTAGAAGTAGTAGTAGTGGTAGTAGTAGAAGTAGCCGATAGTAGTAGTAGTAGTTGTTATAGTAGAAGTAGTAGTAGTAGTAGTAGTAGTAGTGTTGGTGGTAGTAGTGGTAGTAGTAGTAATGGTAGTGGTAGTAGTAGCAGTAGTAGTGGTGGTGGTAGTAGTAGCAGTAGTGGTGGTGGTGGTAGTAGTAGTAGTAGTAGTAGTAATAGTGGTAGTAGTAGTTGTTAGTAGTTTTAATAGTAGTAGTAGTAGTAGTAGCGGTGGTGGTGGTAGTAGTAGCAGTAGTGGTGGTGGTGGTGGTAGTAGTAGTAGTGGTAGGAAAAAGAATAAAAATAATAATTTGTCACGTGATGAACCTTTTGTTGTTGTAGGGTTTATTCTCGACGATTTCTGGCGACAGATAGTACGGTGTTCCAATGCACGTGCGAGCAAGTTCGGATGTACTGGTGTGTGTAGCGTGCGTGTGTGTGCGTGTGTGTGTGTGTGTCCTGTAAAAATACTTTTTTAATGAAAAAGTTGAAGGTCTTATAAATATGAAGAGAATATAAATGGAAGGAATGGCATTTAAATAGGAGATAAATTAAAAAAATCAATGACACACACAAACATACAAAAAATATAAGTATACAAAACATGAACGTTCAAAACAAAAACATAAACATACAAAACATAAACATACAAAACATAAACATACAAATCAAAAACATAAACACAGAGCACTGTTTAAACGTTGATACCTGTTAAGTAGCTTGGCTATGCCGAAATCACCCAGCTTTATTACACCTTGCTTGGTTAAGAAAATATTCTGTTGGATGTATTTAGTATTTTTGGTAACAATAATGACATAAACAATAATGACATCAACAATAATGACGTCAACAAAGAAAATGTCAGCCAGAAAAATTACATAAAAAAACAGTTACATCAACAAAATTGATTGATACATTAACTTTAATAACGATGATGATGATGACGACGATAATGGTGACGATGATGACGATGATGATGATGATGACGATGATGACGACGATGACGATGATGATTATGGTGATGATACCTGAGATTTGATATCTCTGTGAAGAATTTTCTGGTCATGTATATGCTTAACTGCGAGACACAATTGTATGAACCAATCTAATATCTTGAATGTGTGTGTGTTTGTTGTGTGTGTTTGTGTGTGTGTGTCATGTGTGTGTGTATGTTTATGTCGTCTGTAAAGGTGTGTTTATGTTTTGTGTGTGTCATGTGTATGTGTGTGTGTGTGTTATGTGTGTGTGTGTGTTTATGTCGTCTGTGTGTGTGTTTATGTTTTGTGTGTGTGTGCTGTGTGTGTGTTGTGTTTGTTTTGAAGACGATGAAGACGATGACAATGATGATATGATGATGGTGATGATGATTGGAAAAGACTAAACTAAAGTTATATAAATATCAAGATGATATCTCGTTCATTTGCATATCACAGTCCTTTCCAGTTAATTTGCATGGTTGACATCCATGTAACATTTATGACATACGTATGTTTGTAGCTACACGCACACAAAAATGTATATACACTGCATGTTTTATACATCTTTCGGACAAAATTTTATGTTTAAATTGTTGATATACATCGTTTAGAAAAAATTGATTTCAAAAGCTGTGAAAATAGTCTGTACAAGTGAAATGAATCTTTAAAATGTGTGCAGGATGAATTTTGAAATTTTTGCTGTTTTTTGTTTTTGTTGTTGTTGCTGTTTGTTTTTGTAAATATTTAAGCATGCATGATTGCATGTAAACTTAAGTATGTTTGTATGCAAACGCGAGTCTGTTCCTATGTAAATGTATTTTTGTATGTTTGTTTGTACGTGTTTGTTTTCCTTCTATAAAAGTTTGTTTGTATGTGAATGTATGCATGTTTTTATGTAAATGTATAAATGTTTGTATGTGAATGTTTATCTGTGTGGATATGTTTGTTTGTATGTTAATTGAATGATTGTTTGTGTGTAAATGTAAGTTTTTTGTATGTAAATGTATGTTTGTCTAAATGTGTAGGTTTGTATGTATGTTTGTATGTGAATATATACATGTTGGTATATAAATATATGTGTGTTTGTGTGTGTATGTTTGTTTGTGTGTGCATGGATGTGTGTGTGTTTGCGTATACGTATGTTTGCGTATACGTGTTTGTATGTTTGTTTGTTTGTATGTTTGTTTGTATGTGTACAATTGTGTGTTAATGTATGCTGTTTGTTTGTAGCAAAAAAATAATAAAGTCACCTGATTTTGTGAAAAGAGTACGCCTTTCTGAGCCACAATTTTGTTGTGTAAGTCTCCTGGGAAGAAAATGTCATCATCGTCGTCGTCGTTATCATCATCATCATCTTCTTCGTCATCATCATCTTCATCAACATCATCTTTTTCATCTTCTTCGTCATCATTTACGTCATCGTCGTCATCAAAATATTAAATACAAAAAACTTTAAAAAAAATATTTCTAATAAGTATCGTCATTATCATGTTAACATTATCATAGTCATTATTCAAACTTAGAAGGATTAAGTTTAAGACACGTAGAGTCAGATCAAGCGATAATTGAAGAAAGACATAGAGATAGATTATGAAGAAACACTGACTAGTGAAAGAAAAATTATTAATAATACGAGGTAGTTCAGAAGTATAGAGTATAAATAGAAGAGGGCCAAGGATAGAACCCTGAGGTTCCGCCAAAAGTAAGAGTAGAAGAGATAGAAGTAGAATTATTAAGAACAACAGAAAAAAAACGAATAGATATATAAGAAGAAAACCAAGATTGGCAAGAATCAGTAATATTAAAAAAAGGATCTAGCAGCCTCAAGAGGTATAGTATGATTAACAGTATCAAAAGCAGAGGAAAAGTCAAGAGCAAGAAGAAGAGTAAGATTACTATTGTCACCAGAGAGAATGATTTCATTATGAATTTAGAGTAAAAAAGTTTCAGCACTGTGAGCAGGTCTGAAATCAGATTGAGATACAGGTAGCAAGGAGTTAGAGTTTAAAAAAGATGACAATTGATTATAAACTACATTTTCTATTATTTTAGAGAGGAAAGTAATATTAGTAGCAGGTCTACAGTTAGATAAAGAGGAATAAAACAGTTTGATAATTAAATATTATGTAGATAAAATAGTTTGTTTTATAAAAAACTCGCGCGCACAAATAATCACCATCGTCGTCGTCATCGTCTTCATTTTCACCATCATTTCATCAGCATCATCATCGTCATTACACATTTATCACTATGATAAACATCATTCATGCCATTGCCATCATCCTCATAAACGACATTATCATAAACATCCTCACGGTAGACAACATCTTCAACATCTTTAACACCTTCATCATCGCCACAGGGAAGTATGCATATATTCAAATTTGTACGTCCCATGCGAACTGAAGGTAAGTAACTTTATCAAAAATTGCTTGAAAGAGCAAGAAAAAATCTAAATAAACGAAACCAGACTAGAAAAAACAAAACGAGACGATACGAGACGATAAAGCTGTTTTTAAGAGAAACTAGAACTATAAAGTAGCGTTTATTAATTTTTTGTTTTGCCATCCTTTAGGTTTACTGGGATAATGTAGCTTGTTGTTATGTGATGTGGTTGTAGGTTTTGTGGCTAATGCTGAGGCTGTGAAGTTGTAGCTGCGGCTGTAACTGCTGTTGTGGTTGTAGTAGCATTAATTGTGGCTGTAGCTGTGGTTGTAGCTAAATTTGTTGTTGTAATTGTAACGGTGATTGTAGTTTATTTGTTGTTTTTGATGTTTGACTGCAGTTGTTGCTGTAGAAGAAGTTGTATTTGTGGCTGTGAATGTGGCTGCAGTTTTAAATGTAACTGTGGTTGTGGTTGCAGTAGTAGTTGTGGCTGTAGTTACCTCTGATCTTAATTGTAGTTATTTTTAAGAGGAGCATATGCTGCTCTGAGCGCAGACTAAAAAAAGCATGACGCATATTTTAAGGCATTCGATATCTTGTTTATTTTTTTTTATCCTAAGGAAAGATGTTGCTAAAGTAGGCATGGTTGTTTTTACGGTTGTTTGTTTGGTTGAAATGACGTCATAGTTGCTAAAAATAAATAAATATACATGTGGTTTCGTGTAGCAGGAAATGAAACATATGAAACAATGAAAATTAAAAATATACCTTTATTATAATCACTATTATTATTAACCGCTGTCATTGCATTCAATATCTTGCATACCATCATCATCGCCGTCATTATTATTTTCATTATTGTTATTATTATTATTATTAATTTTGCATGTACCCACCTCCTTCACAGTAATCCATTATAATGAATAGCATGCTGGAGACTTTGGATGGAGAAAAAAAAACGTTAAATTAATTAAACGGATAAATGATTAATAATTTCGGAATAATTTTCAAATTTTCTCGAATAATAATAACAACAACAACAACAAAAATTATAATAATTATTATTATTATTATTATAAAATATTAATGTTATGAATAAAAAATACTAAATCACAACCCTCAGAGTGTTCAATGTAACTGACGATATTTTGATGATTGAGTTTTGCGAGACACGTTACCTGTATTATTATTATTATTATTATTATTATTATTAGAAAAGTACTAGTAGTAGTAGTAGTAGTAGTAGTAGTAGTAGTAGTAGTAGTAGTAGTAGTAGTAGTAGTAGTAGTAGTAGTAGTAGTAGTAGTAGTAGTAGTAGTAGTAGTAGTAGTAGTAGTAGTAGTAGTAGTAGAATCAGTATTAGTAGCAGTAGTAGCAGCAGTAGCAGCAATACTAGTAATAATAGTATCGATATTTTTTTATTGATTTTTTTTTGATTGCTTGGAATAAATTGCAAAAAATGTTTCATAATACCACACCTCTTTCCTCGCTTCCTCTTGCTCTTTGTTTGACATCTTAATTAATGAAAATAAGTTCAACAATTATGTTAATATAAGACTAAAATCACAGAATTAACAAGAGAATTAATAATAGTACTAACAATACTAATAGAAGGTAATAATGCTAATAAAAAGTATTTATCAGATTGATAAATAAGTAAAAATTGCTAATTTCGGTTGTTGTATAAAGTTACAGACTAATTGCGCTTCAAATAAAGGGCAATCGTCCCAGAAAAAAGTCATGATTTATGCATTGTATACCTAGAAGTTAATGAACTTTTAGACTTAATGATATCATTTGGTAAATAACTATAATCTTTGTGAATAAATTATGATAATATAAACAAACTTTTTTCATATTTATTTCTTTCATAACGAAACACTTTTCACTAATTTTATGCTTGACGACGAAAGCTGAACCGAACGAGCCTTCTCCGATTTTTTTCAAAGTTTTGTATTTCTCCATATTGTCGTTTTCAAAGAATTTCTATTAATTAATTCTTCAACTAAATACTCAATAAAATACTTGTATTTATAATTAGTTGATTAAATTTATAATTAATAGGTTAAATTATGTTTTTAAAAACGATTTTCATTGAGTAATTTTATAAATTTTTAGCCCAACTTGCATTAACTAAAAACGGCACTTTTCAGAGGTCTTAAAATGAAAAAAAGATGTTAATAACAAAATATTATTACTAAATAATATATATATATCCAAATTTTCAAAATTTTTTTTATTATAAATTAAGAAACTTATTAAAAAATTTAGCGTGCAGTTAATAAGCACGAGATATATATATTTTTCGGTTAAGACAACAATGTCTCAATGTATGTATGCATAGCATTTTAACACACAAAAAACATGATCAAATCATTGTTTTTATCACAGATAATTGGTAAATCCGACATATAAAAGAACATTTTATTTATTAAAAGTTAACGACTTCTAAAATATTGCGTTTAATTAACTATTTAAAAACATTGAGTTTTGTTGCTAAGGTGGTTGCTACGTATGCCATAACAGGTGCTCTCAATGAATAAGTAAGATCGACTTTCTTTTTTTTCTTGAAAAACATAAAGAATAATAATTATGGTAATAAAATATTAAAGATAATAGTATTAATAATTTGTTTAAATTTCTTTTCGTAGCAACGAGAAACATTGGATGTGGTAAGCGAGTTTTATTTGCATTTTAAACCGGCCACTCCAACAGCAAAACCAGGTGCCTTGACCATCTAGCCGCTCATAGATAGTGTTATATTATATAATGTTAATAAATGAAACATAAGATGTAATCACTGCAATCAATCATTCAACGTTAAATGAAAGGCATTCGATTTCACATTCAGAAAAAAAAGAATGTCACAATCATGGTACAATATCTTTGGTAACATGAAACATTTATTAGATCCACTGTCTTTGTTTAATTTAGGTTTTATTTTTCCACAGAAATATTGGAATATACAACAAACCAGGGCAGGTTGGTTAAAAATAGATTTGCAATGAAAAGTATTTTCTTTTAAAATATTAAAAAACACACCAATTACAAGTTTTGATACAGCTCTAAGTGTCAATAAATATTCAAAAAAGTTGCTGGGCAGCTCATGAATATGTAAAACATAGCTGTTATATCATCGGTAAGCTTAGTCATTGGTCCGTTCAGTTAGCTTGCTGATGACTCAACAGCTGGGGTGTATAAGTTTAAGTGATTCTATTCATTTGCAATATTCTCGTTGCATGCATAAAATTTATTAGGTAATTTCAACTGTGTTTCAAAGTTACAAAAATGTAGCATTAATATATTTGATATAGATAGATATATGCATATATATGCAATATATATATATGTATATATATATATATATATAATATTACTATATTTTGTAATAAAGTAGATTGAAACAAACACCATTGAACAGTTTAGTAGAAGACCACGTGTTACACATTCGTTACGCGTTCATCCGCTGAAAATGCACTTCTGCAAGAAATGTGGAACCATAATGCAGACTCCAGAAGAGTCAAACAAGAGTTTTGCCTTATGCTATAACAGCAAATGTGGCCACACAGAGCCTATTGAAGCAAGCTGCCAGGAGACGACATACGAACTCCTTTACAACACTCAACAGATCACTAACAAAAAAAACGACAATGAGGAGTACAACAGAGTACTGGGTCCAACAATTGAACGTCAATGTTCATTCTGCAGATATAGGCTAGCGGCCTATTTCACGAGACAGATGAGGTCTGCAGATGAAGGACAATCTGTCTTTTATACGTGTTTAAATTGCAAGCGAGTTGAACGAGAAGATTCGTAATTTTTTTTGTACTACTTGTTTTGGTTTTTGAATAAAATTAACAATTTAACTGAGGGTGACTGGTTGATCAAGTTGTTTATTGTATCATTTAATACATTTACATGTATAATCGTTTTGAAATTTACAGACTCATACGTTTTCGTTATCACGTTTAAATGTTCAAAAATATGAAGTCGTACGCGTTTCTTTGTTAAGATTTAAATGTAATTTTATTTATTTAGTTGAAGAATGAAAATCATCTGTAGAAACATTGTAGAAGACACTACATATGTAGAATAAATGTTAGGTAGTTGACAAGATTCGATACTGTAGCGTTTTTCTAAACTCCGGGCTTTCGATTCAATGGTTTTATTAAACTTTTCCTAAAGCTTCAGTTTACTTTTATACCAAATAAAAGCTTAAGTTTTTTCTGCAGTATCATATCTTGTTTTAATAATTTTAATAGTTAGTTTAATTAATAATTAAATAGTCTTTTCATTTTTAAAAAATTTGATTATACTTTTTTGCAATTTATTATAATTACGATGAAGTTTGTTTTAAAGGAAAACGAAAAGACAAGAGATTGGTGTGATTATGCATTTGTCATGGTTAGTAAAAAAAACTTAAAATGAAAATAGTAATAATAACAGATAGCAAAGCAAATAAAATATTAATAAACAAATTATTAAATTTTGGCAAGTGAGTGCACATGATTAAGAAGTTGAAAATACTTTAATATATAAATTGATATTAAATTTTAATAAAAAAAAACCCTTAAACTCAACTCTATCATATTTTTTATACAAATTCCAATGACTTATTTATGTGTTAATAAGTTGTTTTGTCTTCAATTCAATTGCAGGCACTGTTCTAGGATTATGCCTAAATTTTTATAAATGCTAAGTTCTAATTGCAATAATTTTTTTGTTTAATAAAATATTGTGTTATTAAAAACCAAAGAACCAAATTAATTTAAAATTAACTCAAATAGCCTACAGTTTCAATAGGCAATGTCGGCCAGTTAACAATTGACTTATTGATTTCATCGTTACAAGCTCCATTAGTTGGCCACTTGTCGTCTGATTGTGTTGTTCCTGTGGTTGGTAGGGATGCGTTCGACTTGAATTCCAACTTATTAACTACTTCGTTAGATGGTTGGCTATAGATAGTTATTTTTTATTTATTAATTAATATTAATATAATTAATTAATTAATTTAATACTTATTAAATTATTGATTTTTTAATTTTTCAGTTCATGAATGTGAGAAGCACAAATTGGTTATATTACAGCAACGATCTCCTATTATAAAAGTATGGTAAATTTTTTTGTAATTTATTTTAATTGTTTATTTTTATTTGTTTTTTAATTTATTTATTAAAATTAATTTTAATTTTTTTTAGAAATTCTTTGTTGAAATCAATCTGAAATGTAACAGAATAAGTTAATCATTCACTTTCACATTCATTTCTTTTAAACTGGTCGCATTGAATTAATTTTGTTGGAAATATAATCTGCAAATCTAAATAAAATAAAATAAATATAATCTAAATAAAACAAAATAAATTATAAATTAAAATGGATAAGTTACAAAGAAAAATTTTACAGAGAAGACAGCAAAGATTTATAGATGAGTTAACAAAATGGATCAAAGATATGAAATTCCCACATGTCATTGTGTACACGAGTGTTTTGGCCTGTGAAAGAATTGATTCTCAGCTATATGGGTCCGTGAGTTTCCTGTGAAAAATATTTAAATGTTGGATAATTTTTTCTTAGTTTTTGATGGCGAGTTTTAAATATGCAAAATTTGTTGATGAAATTTAAATATGTAAGAAAAGTTTGATGGTATGAATGATACTTTGAAGTAGCTTTTTATAAGTAGCTTTTTTTATTTGTAAATATTTTAAAAAAAAATTAAAATCATATTGAAATGTGTTAATTGTATAAAATAATTTTTTAGAATCAAATAAAAATCTTGTTTTTGACAAATGTGGGAAATGTAAGTCTTGAGACTAATACCAAATGATTTTTTCAAACCACAGACCCCAGTGTAGATTCATGTCAACTAACAACAACACGCATTTGAACATGGAACGACTAGCAGAAATTTTTCCATGTTTAGAGACTCGACAAGACATCGTTGCAGTTGCAGATGGTGCTGCAGTCAATCAACCATACATTCCTGGCAGTGGGATCACCAAGAAGCTTCTTTATAAATTGTAAGATGACGTTTGTTACAATTAACTGTTATACTTCAACATTTAATAGTAGAATGTGTTCCATTGCCTACTGACTATTTTCAATATTTTTAATGCTTTTCAAACCTTATATCCAGTTAACATTTTACACATCTACTTGGCTTTCAAACTTCAAGTTGTACATAAATTTACTTGACATTTGGCTTCCACTTAAATTTTCTTACAGATGGCAGCTTACATTACATTTATTTCAGCAATACATTCAAAACATTTATTAATTCACAAACTCACAGAAAAGCATTAAATTCCTATGCACACAAGCTCACTTACACACACACACAGTAACAATGAGAACATTGAATCAGTTGTGTTGTTGAGATTCAGCTATGAGGCAGACAACATACCAGATGCTGTTGAGCTTTTCAATCTCACCAATACATATTTCAATTGGATCGATGTAAGTTGCTATTTTCAAGTTGTGAACTACTACCTTTATATATGATTTATATTTTTTATATTAATTTTCTTGTTTGCTAACAAGCTGCTAGCAATGCTCTACCTGTAAGATTTTTTGTCTACCATGTATGCACTCAATAAAATTTGACAGATATTTAAATCTGACCAACAAGTTGTTTTTGATTTAATAATTTTCACCCTTTTGGATGACCAACCACAATAAAACTTACCAAAAAAATGATATGCCGTCACAACAAACAGAAACACCAAATATCTTGGTTCAAACACACACAACACATAATACAACTCATATGTACACATCAAATTCACAGCCAGAAAACATGAAGATGCCTCCATCGTGGAGTCTGTTGTTTGGCAGTCATTTTGATCAAATCATCTACCAATAATCATGTTCATGTATGTGTATAGCTGTGTGAACTTTACTCACATTCTGACAGAACTATTGACTGAACACCAATTTTTGTATATGTGTATTTTCTATTTAACATGAGAAGTGCTTTTAAAAAAGAAACGAGTATGTGGTTGGTATAATTGCTGAAAAACTGTCTGTTTTTCGTAAAAAAATAAATAAAAACGATAATAAATTATTTTATTGCAAACATTCTAACTTCAAACAAATCACAAGGGAAACATTTTTGTTTGGTTTCTTTGATAACTGACAAGCCAGCCTGTTCAACTAGGCCCAAATAATTTTCTCTTGTTCTGACGTAACTGCTGTCCAGTTTATCAAACTCTGCATTCATGCTTACATTCTCTTTGAAAATTATTAAGCCATCAGCTGTAAGGGCTAATCTGCATTTTTGAAAAAATGATACCAGGTCATCATCTGTTAGATGGCCAAGTACCCACTGGCACCAGATAACATCATATTTGTAGGGTTCAGGTTGAAAATCTTGCAGACCACTGCAAATGCAATTAGGAACACGACTCATTTCATCACCTATGTATTCTGGGGCCTGGTCCAAGAAGTGCTGACAAAGTTCTAACATGTCAACTTGCTTGAAGAGAGGTAGGAGGAGTCGTTTTGTTACTCTGCCTATCCCAGCACCACAGTCTAGGGCATAATTTGTGTTTGTTTTGGAAACTGGTGACTGCAATAAATGTTTAACAATTTCATTTGTGAATTTAAAAACATTTAATTAAATTAAGAAAAGTTTTAAACAATTTAATTGTTAAAACAAAACATTACATTTAGTTAGATTAGTTAGGCAGGTGAAAGCATAAAATTGTGATTGAATTAAAATAAAATTAATGGGGAAAATGTTGCGAAAATGTGGAGTGGACCTGGATGAACTGTTTGAGGAACTTGATGGACTCGCCAATATCGACACTAGACACATGGCTCAACCCGCCAAGCATGCCGTCAACTGTGGCAGGAACCGAGTCCCAGTACTTTTTGCCGTTCTCGTAGAAATTTGCGAGGTCACACCATAATAAATTAGAATCAGACATTTTACTTGTAAAAACTATAAAAAAAATCAGGAGAATTTAGTTTATTTTAGCCTTTAGTTTAGAATTATTTAAAATTCAAAAGTTGAACACGATATTTTACATTAACTTTTAAGAAACATGGGATACGATGGTTAAGAGGTTACTACAAAAAATTTTTACAAGAGGAATTGAAATATATCATTCAAACTTAGATAAAATAAAACAACCAAGCTTAGGAAATATTTTTTGTTGTAAAATCACTTTAATTTATTAATATTTGTATTTTAATTAAATAAATTTTTTACAAAATAAAAACACTAAACTCCGGGTAAACTTCTAGCAAAAAAATATTTAGTTTCGAATTAACTTTTAAATTTGAAAAAGTGTTGATGCAATTTTTAGCGAGTGTCGTAACTTACGTCTGCAAGCTACGAAAAATTTGTGTGAAGTTTTTTCTCACAGGTTTGTATTTCTTAAGAATATCTAGCTTAATGCTGTTCAATTTATTCAATTTTATTAATTTTTTACTTCTTTAACGCAAGTCATTTGCTGATTGAAGCTAGTAAAAAAAACATACTATGCTGACTAGACTAAAATTAAAATAGCAAAATTTCTTTTTGAAAAGAAAAAATTAAGGCAATTAAAATTAAGCTAATTTGAACTTGGACCAACATGGCCTGTTCACAATGTTTTTTAAGTTGCTTAGTGACTAACCAGTTTAGTTAGTGACAAATGAAACAACAATATGAGATATAATAATAAAGTCCTAATTAATGTTAATTTCTGAACCAAAAAATACTAATAGAATACACTGTCTTAATAATTAATATTTATTATTTAATAATAATGATCAAAATGAAAACTAATTCAAGTTTAAAACAAGTCGTTTTTCTCTGTCATGTCATCATTCAAATATTTAATTTTTAATTCTATGTGTATGTTTTATTTAATAATAGTTGTTAAACTAATTGTCAATAGTATAATTAACTAATATCTAATATTAAAAATGCTCTGTGTTGTGTATTCAGTTTATTCCATGGTGAATGAACTTTAAAATATTTATAGGCATGTATCAGGTATATATATATATATATATATATATACATATATATATATATATAATTTATTAATAATACTATAGTGTATATTATATATTAAGATATACATTGCATTATATAGTGTATAGCTTAAAATCTATATACATAAAAATATATATCGTTATTATGTTATATTGTTATCATTATAACTTTAGTTATTATTAATGTTGTTATAGTACTCTATTTGAGATGCAAAATGATGAACATTAAAGAGCTTACACGCTTAAAGTTGGGAAATTGTAAATAAGTAAGTTACACTACAGACAACAGTCACAGTTACAATTAGTTACACATACTAAAGTCCAAAGTTTTGTTTGTGTGATAATCTAATTATTATAATTAAAGAACTGATAAATAGCATTATATACAAGATGTATGTGTGTGTGGTGTGTGTGTGTAAGTTTATATATAAATATATATATATAAATAAATATATATATGTGTGTGAGTGTGTGTGTGTGTGTGTGTGTGTGTGTTTGTAAAGTTTTTAGATATATGTTCAAAGCATTGTATGTGAGGTGTGTTTAAATATGTAACAATGGATTCCATTTAAAACTGTCTAGAGCTGAACAATGGTATACAATTTCACTTATTTTGTAGTTAAGTTACTGTTCAGTGATGTTGTTATCTAATCAGTAATTAATTTAAGTGATTTGTTTACAATTCAGCTATTGATTAGTTTAGAATTTAATTAATTAATTCATTTATTTATTATTTAAATAATTAAATTTAAACGGTTTTGCAAATTTTAAGAGTTTAACACTTGGAAGAAATGTATGAACAAAATGTTTCATCATAGCCAGACATTTACAAGTGGCTATAACATCATACATTCTATATAATAATGGATTGCTCTGATAAAGGTTAAATTTGTCTGATAAATTATTTAAACTATTTCATTGAATATTAAAAAAAATTGAAAGTCAATTTCTTTCAACATCATCAATTTATTGTTTTAAATAAATATCTATTTAATTTTTAATAATTTAAATATACAAAACTATTCTCAAATGCAGTTATTGTGGCCAGTGATTTAGGAAACTTGCTGTCCATGTTTGAGCAAGGTTTATACTTTTTTCTCCATTATATGAAGTTTTTTTTATTTATTTATTTTCAACTTTTTTTTATAACTCGAAAAGTCAAAATTAGATATCAAATAATTCACACATCTGTGTATGTATGTGTACAAAACTACATACAATACACAAGATTCTTTATGCATTTGAACCAGTCTTAATTGTTAGTTAGGACAGTATTCTGAGATGTGGCATCTCTACCACTTTAGCCAGCAAGTCAACTACATTTATTTACATTGCTTATCTTTTGTTGTTGTTTAAATGAATGTGAAACACGTTGTTACAGTTGGACCTCTAATTGAATCAGTGAACAGTTCATCAAGTCATGTTTTCATTGACAACAAAAACATCGACATCACATCAAGCAATGACAACAACATCACATCAATAGCTGATGCTGTCGCACTACCTGCTGACATTAACATCGCATCACCACCAAACGACAGTTTGTTACATAGCATCACATCATTTGATACTACTTCCAATTTTAATGTAGTAGCTAATTACAATGATGAGGTCGCCATATTTCAACATGATCTTGCTTATGATGATGTCTGTGTAGATGAGTGTGTTATTTATGATTTTGAGACTGAAACTGGCGGTGATTTTTCTAGACTGGATGCAAGTTTACAACCAGAAAACACTGTTAATGATGATCAAAGTTGTTTAAATGACTCATTCGATGAAATTTATCTTTTGAATTGCAAGAATTCATCCCATGTAGATGACATCAACGCTGATAATCATATCAATAATGAGAGGGTTGTGATCGCTTGTGATGTGACTGACATCACAGAAGCTGCTGACATAAACAGTCGACATCATTCTAACTCACGGCATCGACATTTCGAAGGAAGTTTCATGAATAGTGATGAAGACGATGATGATGATTTGTTGCCTTGTCACGCTCGACATCAACAACAACTGCAACAAAACCAACGATCTCAACAAGATGTGATGAAACTACAACAAGATCCAACGCAAGAACAACATCTAGCACCATCACAACCACAAATGCAGACGATGGCGCCACTTTCACCGCAGTCCTGCAACTTCGGACGTGGAATTGAATCGGCCATTCGTCTGAAGAAGGGTGGAAGATTTCAAGGCCGAGGTCGTAGCTGCTGTCTGAACAACAATAATGACGCCATTATCGACAACAACAACATCAACAACAACCACAACAACAACAACAATGATGACGCCACCAAGCCTACCGTCAACAACCACAACAACTTCACAGATAAAAGCTCAATCAGGCGGCAGCAGTACAACACCTTACGACGCAAGTGCAGCAGCAGCAATAGCAGCAACAACAACAACGTCACCAGACGACAAAACTACCAGAAGAAATCTGAACAAGAGCCAGTAAACGTCAACATACATCAAAACTACTACTACAACAATATATTCGAAGACGACGCTGAAGATGGCTCCCAAAAATACATCGATAAGATACCAACCTACTACACCGCACTGTCAAGACCTACCAGAGGGATCGTCAGGAACATCAGGATCAACATCTCCGACCTGGATTTTCCGGAAGATGATGATGGGAGCAGTTTAATGTGTGTCGATGATAACATCCTGTTAGATAAGGTTGACTGGGGTACATTGTTGATTGGGCACTTTTTCAAGGATTGTCTATTCATAAGAGAATTTTTTTATTAAAATTAATTTTATTCTTGTTATGGATTGATTGATTGATTGATTGGAAGAATATTTGATCGATTGATTGGTTGATTGATTGATTGATTGATTTATTGATTGATTGTTATTAGAATTTTCATTTGACCAAAAGTTTTTCCAGCTTGAAATTTTTGCTTTGCATATGAATTGACTTCTTGGATGAAACTTTTTTGAAATCTGTACCCAATAGATTGTTCTTTCTAGAAAGTACATATAGTGTTGATAATGATAGTGTTGATGATGATGATGATACGATAACGGTGACGACGATGATGAAGAAGAAAAATATGATGATGATGATGATGATGAAGAAGAAGAAGATGATGACGATGATAATTATGACGAAAATAATAAAATCTAAGAACGCATATAAATTTGTAACCTCCCTAGATACCTGCCTACCACAGTTGCTTCACAAACAGCACGAAATACGACGTGAATGACCTCAGCGTCAACAATAACAACAATTACATCAACAACAACAACAACAATTACATCATCAACAACAACAACAATTACATCAACAACAACAACAATTACATCAACAACAACAACAATTACATCAACAACAATAGATGCATTTATAGCAACAGTTATGGCAACCATGACTTCACATTCACCTCAGGTCCTGATTATGACTCATACAACAACGACAACAACAACAATAGTTATAACGATATCACCTGCAATGACTGTGACGAGTCTAGTAATAATAATAATAACAACAACAACAACAAAGTCAGTATTGATAACGATCATCTTTTCAACGACATCTCAACCCATAGTATGCGTGATAAAGTCGACAACACTCACAACATAAGCAACTCTAAAAGCATGCTCGCATCTAATGTAATTTATAACAACAACAACAATAATAATCATAACAATAATAATCATAATAATAATAATGAAGGGGTCTGTTTTTTGGACAACGAAGGTCCTGAGTCCAGATTTGAGTCAAAGTCTAAAAGGTCAAAAAACATACACTTGGTTTTTTTCACTGATATCTTTTTCTTCTTCTTTTTCTTCTTCTTCTTCTTATTATTATTATTATTTGATTTGTTAATATTTTCAAGTTTTATTATACAATTGCTATCTTACTTAACTTGTATTCGTTTCCATTTAGATCCGCAACGATTGAATGTCGAAACGAATTTGGACTTGAAGAAAATAAAGTATGAACACACACTCACTCACGCACACACACATACACGCACACACACTCGCACGCACACACGCACACACTTGCCCATCGTCACACACACTCACTCATACACACACTCGAACAAACATATTCTCTATACTTTATTGTTAAACATAACTTTACTATATATATTCATATTATACTATATTTTATTATATTATGCTATATTAATATTATATTATATTATTTTTTTTCATGGTAGATGGATAGAAAGATAGTGCATATAGGCAGGATACCACGAAGCTGGAGTACTGATAAGTTGAAGAAAATGTTTGAGGAGTATGGGCCTATCGTTGAATGTTCTGTACACTTTAGAGATATCGGGTTGGTTGGTTGGTTGGCTGGTTTATTGGTTGGTTGGTTGGTTGGCTGTTTGGTTGGTTGGTTGGGTGGTTGGTTGGTTGGTCAGTTGGCTGGCTGGCTGGTTGGTTGGTTTGCTGGTTGGTGGCTTAATTCTATAAACTAAATTCTATGTACATGTTTATACAAACATTTATGAGTGATGTAACTGACAAATGATGATGATGATACATAATGAAACTTTTTTTTATTTCTTGGGCTCTTTTGTTTATGATCTTTGGTATCAATATCGGTTGCAGATGTTAATGTAATTAAATGATGCGCGCTATGAGTATTTCTTATGCTTGTGTGTGTGTGTGTTTATTTCTGTGTGTGTGTTTATTTGTGTGTGTGCGCGCGCGTTAGCAGTGACATTAATAAATTACTCGAACAAATAATCACTGTGGAATTTTAAATTGAATAAATAATGTAAAATATTTTTTCATGATATCTTAATTTCTGCACCCCACATAGCGACAATTACGGCTTTGTAACATTTAGAAATGTAGAAGGTGCCTTTAAAGCTATTGAAAGTGAGAGTTCATCTCCATTCTTATCGTTGATTTTGTTGTTATTGTTGTTGTCGTTGTTGTTGTTGCTGCTGCTGTTTTCGTTGTTGTTGTTGATATCATATTCCTTCTTGTGATGCTGTTTTCATTGTTATTCTTCTAGCTGCCTTTAGTTTTTTTGAGTCATCTGTTACAATCAGTTTGTTTATTTCTTTGTTAATGGTAACGTCTTGTTATTATTATTATTATTATTATTGTTATTATTGTTACTTTATAATAATTAATAATAATAAAAATAATAAAATATTTTCCTCCACCAGATGGCCACAAGTTACCTGGATGTGAACGCCTGGATATATGCCTTGGAGGAAGGAGGAAGTTTTGTAGGCAGGATTATACGGATTTAGGTCATTTAATTACATTTATTAATTTGAATAAATTAATAATTAACTTAACTAATTAATTAATTACGAAATTTATTGGCAATTATCTTAATTTATTTGTTTATAATGGATTTTATTTAGTTAGAGGTATGAATTACAAATGTGAAATTCAATCCCTCTATGCACTTTGTATATGGTAGTTGGGATCCGCTCGCATTCGAAGCCGGTCACTTAGACTCAAGAATACATCAATTCGACGTGCTATTTTATAGCTACTTATTCTGTATTTATTATGTTTGTATGTACATTTTTATACATTTTGTATGAAAAATGTGTTTTTTTTTATTGTATTTTTCCAAGTACTTTTTCAGTTGTTGGATCTTGCTATAAAATAATATGTAAGATGTTATTAGATCTTATTGTTATTAAAAATAATAGTATAATATTAATTAATTAATAATTATAAATATGATTGACTGATGGACAGATGGAAACATGCAAGTGAAGGAGGAGTTCGTGCCCGGAGTTCTCAAGTCGGAAAAGAGCTTTGAAGAACTTCTAAGAGAGGCCACGAAGAATAGATAATGATGGTGGTGACGGTGGTGGTGATGATGGTGACGAGTGTTAAAATGATAATGGTGATGAAGAAGATGATGATGGTGATGATGAAGAAGATGATGAGGATGGTGACGATGATGGTGATGATGATAAAGAAGATGGAAATAAAGATGATGATGGTGATGAGATGATGGGAAATATCGTGATGGAAAAAGGAATGATGTTGATGAAGACGACGACGCGTTTTTGTTTCTTTGACATTTAGCTAAACCTTTTATGATGTAAGGAAGTATTTTTTTAAATTTTGATAATTATGTATGACGCTTGCCTAACTTCTTCATACATTTCAATACAAATCTACACTGTCTGTCTGTCTCTCTGTCTGTCTGTATTTCTGACAAAAATTCTTATTTCAAACAACTACATACATTTGATTCGAAAAGCTTCTAATTGATTCAACTAACTAGCTATACAAAGATTTTATTCCAGCCATTCAATGATTCTGCGTGCTTTTACGGGCTTTATTTCTGTTAAGACTTTTACAAATACGTGTTATTGGGTAATTTAGTTGAAGGGTGTTCATATATACATATATATATATATATATACATATATATATATATATATAACTTGTTTTTTGATAGTTTGTCTACTGTTTGTGTGTATTGTGTGTATGTTTGGCGTGTGTGTGTCTAAATGTGTGTGTGTGTGGTGTGGTTTTGTTTTTACTTACATACATTTGTCGCATTGTTTTTTGTTTGTCTTTTTTCTTTGAATGGTCTCAACTATGATTTGTGGCAATTTAAGTTGATTAATAAATCGTTCGCTAAAATTTAATTGCCGGTGAAATAGATTTAAATTTGCAACTTGCCACTTTTTTAAGACTTTCCTTAAAACTATGCAAATTGGCGCGTCCGTTTTTCGTTACAGAATTTTTCAACAAAAGGTTTTTTAATTTGATTAAAAATAATTTAATAATTTCATTTCATCATCAATAAATAAATAAACCAGCTTTCCTAACCACCACATCATCGTCAGCGATTACGGCCAGTCGTAAAGTTTCGAGTATCATAATCGAATTACAGCAAGACTTGAATAACAAGCTGTGAAGCTTTTTGATACAATTGTGAATAAGCATTAATGGAAAATATGTTTCCGCAATGTCAACTTTAAAAGTATTACAACATACACGCTGTGTAAATGAGTTTGCTCTCACTTTAAATGACACCAAATGATCAAACCTAGGACAACACTTGTCAGGTTGTCATCGTCATCTTTGACACGCTGACATGAATAGATGTTTCATCATAAAAATCACAGAAAATAATAAATTCATCGGTTAGACATAATCATTTGTCAAATATTCCAATCTAAATAACATCATTAAACATCCGCGATGATACAAAATACATATTCCCAAGCCAACAACAACAAAACTTAAAGCAACATTAACAAAATTATCATTATCATCAATACTATCATCCACAGCAGCAGTAGCGGTAGTAGCAGCCACCAAAGCCACACATTACAGAGCCTCTGTCTCCTTCACAATCCAGTCGTAAACGTCATTTTTTCCTTGCCTCTTAGCCTCACTACCGACTATGTCGCGACATTTCTTGTGGTAGTCATTCAACCACTTTACCTGGGTGGGGTGGAAAATTATTTCATCGGAAAGTTTTCATTAGAAAACGATCATAACGACGGTGAAAATAATTATAGTAATAATTACGATGATAAAAATTATAGTGATAATATTTAAATAATTAGTAAAAATAATTACGATGACGATGATAAATTAGTAATTATTATAGCAATGATTACTGATTACGATGAAACTGATAAAAACCTCATCAGCTGTCAGCATATCTTTGTTGATCATCTTCCTCTGAATGGGCACCAGAGTCACGTGTTCGAATCCGAGGTAGCCAGTTTTTAAATAGTTGTACTGTGATTGGTCGGTTGTTGGTTGGTCGGTTGGTGATTGGTCGGGTTGGTGATTGGTCAGTTGAAAATACGTATTGATAGATGAATGAATGAATGAATGGATAGATGGATGGATGGATGAATAAATTAATGAATGAACTGAGGAATAAAGTTTTAAACACATCAGCAAAACAAAAATATAGTTTATCATCTCCCAACCACCAATAACGACAACTGGCCTGGAAAAAAAAAAACCACTTCAGTCTCACATAAATTTTATTTTAAACCTTCTGGATCTGGACACTCGTCCATTCAACAAAAAAAAACAACTTACTTATTCTGAAAAGTACAACATGGGAATAGAAAATACCAAAGTTGCCATGTTTTTGAACATACATACATACATACATACATACATACATACATACAAAAACATACATGCCAACTAGCTAGCTAGCTAGTTAGTTACTAGCTAACTACTCGCTATAGAAAACATCGAGGTTTTGAAAAACATACACACCAACAAACTACTTGTCTTCTACAACTAAACTAACTAACTAACTACTCACTTTAGTTTGTTTGTCGACAACTACAAATAGGTTTTCAATCCTGACACCAAATTTGCCATCTTCATAGTAACCTGGTTCTGTAGTTGCGTGGTTTGTTTTTAATTCGATTACGTACATTATTAAATACAATACAGGCATACGGAGTCACTAAGTCCAACATACGGCCCCAACAATGCAAACATACAAATACCAACATACAAATCGTACAATACAAACGTACAAATACAAATAACAATATACAAAACAAACAAACACCAGCATAAATATTCAAAAATACAACACCGACCATCACTGAGTACCATTCCTTTCTTCAGGGCAATCTCATCTGCACGCGTATCAACACGAATTCCACAAGGTCCTTAATTATCATCATTAACTATCATCATTATTATTATTAATTAATTAATTATTATTATTAATTATTATTATTATTATTATTACTATAATTATCATTACGCAAGAATACAAACACACACATACAAACTGCCACCTTCATGCACGTTGAGAAATGAACCAACGCCATGACCTGTCCCGTGTCCGTAGTTCAAACCAAGGGACCACAGGTACTGACGCGCCATACTGTCTAGGCTGCTGCCTAGGGGTAAAAGTTCAAGATCAAATATGATTGGAGGTTGGGGTTAAAGGTTAACAGTAGCGGGGTATTGAATGAATGCCGGGTTGAAAAGTTTGGCTGGTTTGAAATAGGGATATACTGATGAACTGTTAGCAAATTCAAATCCACTTGAAAAAAGAATAATGACGATAAAAACATAATAAAGAGAAAAAGAATAATAGTAATAATAAAAATAATAACCTTTTGTCCTGTTTGGGAATGTAGCATTATCCAGTGCTATGTGGCCTTTCAGGACTGATGTGAAACATTCCTGGGTCGTTTTATCATCATCATCATTATTATTTGCATTATTATAATTATTATTATTTATATTATTATGTATATTATTATTTGTATTATTATTAAGTCTGACCCGTAACGGATGGAAACTGTAAACGAGGATTGATTGATTTGTATTATTATTGATTTTTTTAAATAATTGTAAAAAACAAAAGTGGTAAAAATTGTACTGGTGTGTGTGTGTGTGTGTGTGTGATGCGTTGTTTCACGTGTGTTCACTTGAACTAAAAAATAAATAAACCAACCAATAAATTAAATATTAAATGAATAAACAAGCAAAGAACCTTTTCATAATCATTTGGAGTTCCAAAATGAACCGTTCTAGTCACATCTGTCGTACCATCTCTACCATTGAAAAAAAAGACCAAAATTATAATGAAATTCCATAAAATGTCCACCAATTTTTCCATTATATTTATAATTCCGGAAGTAATAACAGCCATGACGTCATACACCACAACTTACGTAGGGAATACTCGTAAAAAAAGAGCTAAGAATATGATAAAACGACGAAAACGATCGAGGCTAATAGTTCAGATACTACAGTTCAATTCCTATTATGAAATAAAATCTCGAAAAATCAAGGCCGTTTTGATGTAATAACAATATCTATAGACACAAAGACATGAGTATTATTTCTGTTCTCATTACCATATATATCTATTTAAACAACAACAACGACAACAACAACAACAACATCATCAACAACAACAATAATAGTAATAATTAGAACCTGTATTGGGCTCCAGAGTCAATGAGGTATATCTCTTTCTTAGTGATATCTTTGTTGGTTTCAGGTGTTGGTCTGTGAAAAATAAATAAAAATCACAAAAAATTATTTGTCGTTAAAAAAACCTTTAAAAATTATTCATAAATTTAGTTTAATAAATATAATTTAAAAAATAAATAACTAATAAATACATAAACAAATTAAATAAATTTATTACAAGCCAATTATGATGTAATAACAACAAACGAACACGAATAAGCAAACATACACACACACATTCAAACAAACATACACACACAAACAAGCAAACAAACAAACACACACACACACACATAATTAAACACAAACTTGTAATGAACAATGGCTCCATGCTCTCCTGACGATGATATCGTATCAAAACTGAGACTCACAAATAGCGCTTGCTTTCTGAAATATTATCAATATTTAAACAAGATAATCAGCAGTTTCAATATTAGCATGGAATCTTTGTTCAATCAATCAATCAATCAATCAATCAATCAATCAATCAATCAATCAATCAATCAATCAATCAATCAATCAATCAATCAATCAATCAATCAATCAATCAATCAATCAATCAATCAATCAATCAATCAATCAATCAATCAATCAATCAATCAATCAATCAATCAATCAACCAACCAACCAATCAACCAACCAAATAACCAACCAACCAACCAACCAACTAAATAACCAATCAACCAACCAACCAACTAACTTCCGGCACGCTTCAGCATAATCGGCAGCTTCGATTTCAGTAACATTCCTATGTTCAATCTCCTTTTCTAGCCATGTAAAAAACTCACATAAGGCTACCGCATCGCGAATCTAATAATAATAATAATAATAATAATAATAATAATAATAATAACAATAATAATAACAATAATAATATTGGGAATGACTTTTATTTCAAACGTAAAAACATACAATAAAAAATAATGTTTATTCAAATTTATTACTACCATAAATATTTTCATAATTTAATAATAAAAACCATAATAATAATAATTGAAACTCTTTATTTGCCAATAAATCAAAGGGGGGAAATGAAATAAAAATAAAATAGAATTTCATTGTACAGAAAAACCACAAATGCTCATTATCTAGGATAAGCATTTGTGGTTTTATTATATTGTACAATGAAATAATAATGATAATAATAATTATAATTATTATAACTATAATTATATCGAAAGTAATAATAAAAAACCAACGTGGCAGTTCTTCATTCCCTGGACCTCGACCTCATTCTTAACTGATTTGGCCACCTCAACAGCTGAATACAACTTCAGCTGCTTCATCTAGAAATTATATTATTATTTATAACAATAATAATTACTGTTATTATTATTATCATTATTATCATTATCATAATTATTTATTATAATCATTATTAATATTATTATTAATATTATTATTATTATTATTATTAATTAAATTTGTGATGATAATATAATTTAGATAAATGTACCTTAGGTACAACGCCGAATATTGCGTGGTTGATGTTCAGGGAGATCTGAGGAAGAGTTGCAACATTTTGGAATACTAAAACGTCACACACACAACATCACATACACATACACACACAAGACTAAGCACACACACACACACGCGCACGCGCACAACTAATGCACACACATATCACACACACACAAACATACACACAAACACACAAGCACAACTAATGCTCACACACACACACACACACACACACACACACACACACACACACACACCAACCAACCAACCAACCAACCCATATCTTGTCATTAGCACCGGTCGATTCATCCACAATCTTCTTCAAACGTTCCAACACTTTTTCATAAGGTTCGATTACGACACTGGCCACGTGACTATCGCCCGCTGACGTCATCAAGTGCTGTCTGACGTCATCTGTAAGTTTACGCTCGTCCACGAAAAAACTGCAAAGGTAATTGGCATCGCTCATCATCATTAACATTACCGTCAATCTCTAAACTCAGCCCATGAAATAATGCGAAAGGCTGGCTGACCAATCAACAAAACGATAATGTGATATGTTAATTATGTTAACGATATGTTAATTATGTTAATAATATGATAATTATGTTAATGATATGTTAATTTTCTCTGAACTAACAAGGCCTGATCCATGGTGATGATGGCGTAGGAGAAGAAGACGGGGTTGAACTGGACATCCGAGCCCCTGAGGTTGAACAGCCAGGCCACCTGAGTGAGTGAGTGAGTGAATGAATGAGTGAATGAATGAGTGAATGAGTGAGTATGTAAATATATAACTAAATAGATGAGTGATAATTCACTAAGTAATTGTGAGTAAAGAGTGTTTTTGGTTGAGTTTGTAAATAAAAGTATGTAAATAAGAAGGTGGATAATAGTAGAAAAAATAGTTTATTCATATATTAACATTTTTTCAGTCAAATTAAATTAAAACTGGTAAAACAAAACAACAAAGCCAAAAAAAACCTCGTCCAGTGCACTAACAACATGCACCGAGCTGTTCTTCTTCGCCATTTCGCTTCTCAAGTTGTCTATCTTCTTGTGCCATGGTTCACCTTGAATGATGATGATGATGAAGATGATGATGAGGATGAAGATGATGATGAGAATGAACAACAGCGCAAACAAACAAATCTGAAAACAAACCAGCATACTGGATGGGATGAACAAATATTAGATCAGTAGGTGTGGGTGGACGGTCGTCCCAAATGGTATCAATGAGATTTTTGGCCACGGAGACCAGGGATTTACCAAATAACTCCAATTCATCTGATAGCTCCTGCCAGTTGTCTGTCGTTCATTGGTGTTTGTATGTGTTGTGTGTGTGTGTGTGTTTGTATGTGTATCTGTATGCGTGTTTGTGTGTACATTTGTGTGCGTTTGTACGTGCTTGTTAATGTTTGTATGTGTGCTAGTATGTCTATTTGAATGCGTGTTTGTATATATGTTTGTACGCATGTTTGTACGCGTTTGTATGTGCGTCTGTATATGCGTGTTAGTGTTTGTATGTGTGTTGGTATGAGTGTTTGAATGCGTGTTTGTGTGCGTGTTTATGTATGAGGCAAAACGAAACGAAACGAAACGCAAAAAAACAAACTCTGTGACATGAGGAATGGATCAACACCCACACGACCGTCGTTCGGCAGCTCCTGGGAGTTTTGAAAAGAAATAAAAAAAAATATTCAGAAGATGAAACTTTGAAGAATACATTTTCTAACAAATGGAATTTTTAATTGAAATTTAAATCTCTGAATGGAATTTTCAATTAAAAATTAAATCTCTAAATGGAATTTTCAATTAAAAAAAATCTCTAGATTAAATTTTCAAAAAGAAATTAGGAGAAAAAGACTTGAGGTGTCTTTTTAAAGATACATAATTGGAAGAGATAACTGAGACGTTTTGTTTGAAATGATATGATATTTCAAAGAGTGAGGCAAGACTTAAAATTATTTTTCAGAATTCAAAAGTTTTAACAAATAAACGATTGATTCTTTACAAATGGTTGGAATTTATAGAAACGGTATAGGAAAAATAAAGTGATAAATGCTAATTCTACAACTCAATATGAATTGATCGGCAAAAAATATGAATAAAAATAATATAGGTAAAAAAAAGATAAATGTGGTGATGATGACAATGATGAAGAAAAAGAAGAAGATGATGAAGATGAAGAAAAAGAAGAAGAAGAAGAAGGCGACGATGATGACGACGATGATAAAAAAGATGATTATGATGAAGATGATGATGATGATGAAGATAATGGTGATAGCAAGTTTAAACACCATCTAAAATGATAAAATGAAAAATGAGAAGTTTGATAAAAATAAAATTCAAACAAACATCGCGCAGCCATTTTCCAAGTGTTGGAGTGTCTGGCAGACCTGAGTTAGTTGGTCAATCAGTTCAATGGTCATCATCGTCGTCATCATTACCCACCCATCATCATTATTACTCACCTATATTATTTATCATCATCCCTTCATCATTTTCATCATCTTTATCATCATCATCATTATCGCTTCATTATCATCACCATCATCATTATCGCTTCATTATCATCACCATCATCATTACTCACCCATCTTCATCAGTGTCCAGTTTTCATCCAGTTCCTCCTCAGCTTGTAGGTAATATCGACTGTCAGTCCATAGAGCCGCCTTGCTATCGGTGACCACCGCTATTCCTGATGATGATGATGACGATGATAATGATGATGATGCGATGATGATGATGTTGAAGTGATGGCGATGATGACAATCGCAATAGTGATGATTATGCATATTTGTGTGAGAAAGAGGGAAAAAGATGTCTTGACAGATGTTGCCATGAAGATGATGATGGTGAAGATGACTATGATGGTAAGGATGATCTATAATAATGGTGACGGAAGTTAAAAGACAATCTCAACGATGATGATGTTTGGAACTATGACTGTGATGGCGACGATGATGACGACGATGATGACAATAAAGATGACAGATAAATGTATCCAAAACACCAAAAAATATGATAACAAGGATAAATACTATGATGATGAAGGGTTGATGATAGCCATGGTCAAAACAACGAAAATGAAGACTTTTTATTTTTAGAAACCAAAAATAATGTTAAGACATGAAGACAATGATAATGACAAGATAGAACGAATCTGAAAAAAAAAAAACAAACCAAAGGAACCAGTGAATCCAGAAATAAACTCCCTCCTTCGATCACATGGGGCTATATATTCACTCTTTCGTAATTTTAAAAAATATAAATTTTTGGTAATTTGGTAATCTTCGGTAATTGAAAACAATATTTTATACTATATATATACACACATATATATATATAAGTATATGTATATATATACATATATGTGTACAATAAATAAATAACTTTATCTGTATCTTGAGAACGTAACATTAGGAAAAAAATGTTACAAAATTTTGTGAAAATATATGTGATTAATTATTTAAATTAATGATGTAATTAATTAATAAATTTAATTAGTTAATTGGTGAATTGATTAATTAATTACCAAATGTGCATCACCAGATGGCACAATATATCCATTGATGACTGGATTAACGATGGACGCATTCTTCATCAAACTTCTCAACCTCTGCAAGAGAACTGTGGTACTTTTTTTTGCCACTGCCATCTGTTTCGTGGGGAGAACATAAATTTCTAAAAAAAAATTTTAAATTTGTTCAATTATTAAATTGAATTAAAAACTGTTATTCATTAATTCATTATTTCAGAGAAAAAAATTAAGAGTTTTAAGTAAAAGGTAAACAAATAAAAAAATTTAATCAATAAATTAACTCCAAAGAGTGTTCACTGTTTTTAAATGTATATTATATTTAAATGTATATATAAATTATATATACAGTATATATGAGTTTTATTACAATTATCTTGACTTGATTGACAGTTTCTATCTAACAGGAGGTGTTGAAACTTTTAGATAAGATTATAATGAGATTTATAATTTAAAAAGTCTGTCTTGAGAAAGAAAGGGAATAGATAATAAATAAATTAAAGAATTTTTTGTGTGAGATAACTTATCATATTTTACTTATTTATTTGTCATATAAGTTTTAGATTAATTAATAAGCATGATGGGATAGGCCCTTTACTTGGCAATGTTCTAGCAGCGGAACTAACAACAAACAGACAAAGAGAAAGACTGCCAAAGGTCAAAGAAGAGAAGCACTGAAAACTAAAAAACTAATTAATCTCCTCTCTTACTAATTTAACTTATTTATCTAATGATAAGATTAGTTACTAATGAAATGCAGTAAGTAATCATATTAAGTGTTTGTTAAATGGCCATCAATTCCGTTGGTCCATTGGATGCTGTTGGTTGTTAAGACTTAAAAGTTTTAACTTAAAGGTTGGTTTTGTAATTGATGAGAAATTGTTAGAAGTTAAAAAAGTTAGATGTTAATAGCTAGAAGTTAATAGTTAGATGTTAGAGTTAGAAGTTAAATAATGTTGATGAAGAAATGAAACTTTGCCGAAGCCTTTACAAACAAATATTAACCTTTCTAAAATTAAATTAAGCGTGAATAAAAAATAGATCCTTTTAAATTTTAAAGAGCTTGCAATTTTTTAAAAATTTACCTTTTAATCAGGTGAAATAGAAATTTACGTAACGCTGAATTATTGAAAAATTTGATATAATATGATATAACTTAAAGATTGTAATTAATAATTAAAATTATTAAATTAAGTTATAAAATAGACGTATTTTATAAACGTAAATATGCCAATAACCTCAGCACCAGAAAGCATCAAAGGAAGAGCACATGACAGTACAATGACTATGGTTTTTACGTTGATCATTTATAATGCTGGTGATGCTACAGTATGAGTTATTGAATTTGTAATGATTTTTTATCTTTTAATTAAGAAATTTTTGTTCTAGTTTAAAATTTATACTCAAGAATCTTTTTTAATTTTGTGTTTATCAACGTAAACACTTGTAAATATTAAAAACTAGTAAACCACCTCATCCAAATAGTCATTAATTATGTCATTAACTTGACAAAAGTATAAAAACCTAACTAGCTTGAAAAGTTTTTTTATCTTCGACACAAGTACGCACTTGAATTTTGAATCATTTTGTCTCATTCTATTTTCAACACAAAGTTACACTTTAAACCCAATTAATGATTATACACTTGGGTGCAATAAACGATTTGAGTTGATATGACACTATTTTTAATTTCATTGAAAAACAATTACATTTTACACTCACGTTTTGAAAAAAAATTGAAGTAAGCACTAACTAATGAAGAAAATGTTTTATGAATATTTTGTACAAAAAAAAAACAAAAAAACATATAGAAAAAAAGATTTAAAAAAATGATAATTTTTTTCAATCAGCTAAACATAGAATCATGTAGAGTTTCAAGTTCAAACTTTCTTTGCTTCTCCCTAGCCTAGGAAAAAAATTATAGCCATCAAGATGTTTTAAAAATTTAGATGAAACATATATTATTATAATTAAAACAAAATAAATTTAAAAATTATTAATTATTAGGAAATAAAAACATGAATAATGATATTTTTCACCTTTTGCCTTTTAAATTCTTCATAATCTTTGTCATCAGTTGGCAGTTCATGTCGACACAGTGGGCAAGAATTTGTCTGTTTAGTAGAATTCATTTCAAAAGCTAACTAAAAAATGTTCAAATTGAATTCTAAAACTAGTTTTTATATTTTTATTATATTTTTATTCAACAGTTTGTATATATACTAACGAAACGTTTAAAATTCAGACAAAGAATGCACAATTATTATTAACAATTTTATGCAATATGTCAATGCTGAGCTGAATTATTTTAAAAGATTAGCCACAACTACAATAAAGAAATCATGTCAATTGAGAAAATATAATTTTAAAAAATTAAAAAAATACATGAAAAAATGAATGTCTACTACTTTTTCAAGCCATGGAGTAATGCATTTGGAATGAAAGTGATGATGGCATGGGAATTCCAGAATTTTATTTCTCTCATCATGTTCGGCTAAACAGATTGGACATTTGGCATCTGGTGATATCAATTAGTTAATTATTAACTAAAATATGCAATACAAATTTTAATTCCTGTTATTTTTTATTTTTAATATTTTTAATGATAATTTTTAAACTAAAAGATGTGAGTAGACATTTTAAAAAAATGAAATTTTTAGAGACTAAAATATTTCAGAGATAAATTTAAATTTTTCCAATTAATAACAGTATTAATTCTGAAGAAATTTGAAAATTTGGAATAAGAAGTGTCCCAAAGAGATATCATTTAAAGAATATTACACAATAAAATATTAAAATTTAATCATTTTTAATTGTTGAAAAATTAATTTAAAAGAAATTTTCAACTTTCAGGTAAATCAGATGGCTTTAACTTTTTCAATTTACTTATGGCTTTTTTAGAAGCAGGTGGGGCAGGCTTTGAATCAGCAAACACCCTAAACAAAAATATAACATTGAAAATAAAACATAAAATTGAAAATAAAAAATTAAAATTAAAAAGAAATTTAAGTATGTGTTGAAAAAACAGTTGGATTTGTAATATTTCAAATTCTCAAATTTTTGCCAATAAGAGCCAACTGATTAAACTGGAATCCCATAGAATTTCCATATCCCCCATCTAGCAAAAGTCTAAAATAATATAAAGTTAATAACAAATTCTTAAAATAAATAAATTTATAATCAATTTGTATTTCTATGTGCTAATTATAACTAATTTAAAGTTTGATTATGTGATTAAATTAAAAGTATTTGTTTAATAAACTAATTCAAATTTTAAACAAAATTCATATTTTATAAACGACACAATGAATAAATTAATTGAACAAACCAACCTGGCCAGATGAAGCATGTGATTGGGTGCCTGTCCATCTTGTAATGGTTCACAGTCATGCTCATCAAAGTATAATGACATTTTTCTTTTACAAGTAACTGACTTTTTAAAAGTGAAAAATAAGAAAATTTCAAAATTATCTAATTAATTTTATATAACTAATTTTATTTTTATTATCAGTGAAATAAATTAATTATGAAATTAAAAAAATATAAATAAAAATTAATATAAATTTAAGTTTTCCTTCATTCTGCAAAGTATTTGTATTTATGTAAAATCAGAAATCAAATAACTTTCTTTGACCAACCTAAGTAACAAATATAACTTAGGTAACTGACTAATTTTTAAAAGAATAAAATCAGATCTAACTAAAACAGCTAATAACTAATTTAATACTAACTGTATCAGTATTGTAACAGGTAACTGACTAACATTGAACTGAAACTAACTCTATAATATTAATAATAATAATATTATTATTATTATAAATAATAATATAAAATTACAAATAATAATAAAACTCACTAACTTGAGTCTTGACTTTACTGACTAACTTAACTTGAACTTGAAATTATTTAATTAATAAGAAAACTTATGAAATTTCGACTTAATGTACTAAGAATAAGAATTAAATTTAATTCTCTATAAAAATAAAATATTTAGACATTTTTAATTTAACTAAAAGTGAATTGCATCCATGAAAATGCAGAGTTCAACCCTTCACATTCCATTTGATCAAGTCCTCGTTTGAAAGTTTCAGCTACAATATATGTTTTATTTGCTAAACATTTGAAAATAAATTTTTAAAACAACATTTAATCAATTATTTTTTATTTTAAAATTGCCTAAGAGTTTTTACAACCGTTTACAAAAGAAGAAAACGCGATTTGACAAATACAACGCACAACCCTATTTCAATTCTTTTGAAGATTTTTGCATTCTCGGCACCGGCATTGTGGCGATAATTGCTGCTGTTTTATTGTCATTTCTCAAAAATATTGATCAGTCTGTTCTTTGGTTTCATTTTTCACTAATTTGCCTAAATGTCTTGGGACTCTTACCGCGATAGACTCATTCAAAGTGGATGTGTCGAAAAAGCTGCCATCTGTGGAGTCGAAGATGCCGCTGTCTGGAGCCAAAGTTCCGGATTCAATGTGAGTTTTGTATTTGTTTTCACTTCGTCCGTCAGAAATTTGTGATTTTCCGTCTTATTTGTATAAAATGTTCGTATTATCAATTTTGCAATCCGATCCAACTGGCTTAAAATTAAACTTGAAAATTTAAAAGTTAAAAAATTTGATATTTTCAATAAATAGGTGACACCGGTTGATATAAAGTCCATAATGAATGCCTTTTCTGACCCGGCAGACATCCGAGCAAATGGAATTAATGTTGGGGGAACTAAATATTTTTGTCTGCAAGCAGATAATTCTCAAATCCAAGGAAGAAAAGGTTCCTCTGGGGTTTCTATTGCTAAGTCCAATAGATGTAAGATTTATTTGTCTATGGATATTTTTTCATCAATTTAGAATTATATCTTTTAGTAACATTAATATTTAACAACTAATAAAAATATATAAATTTAAATTGTTTTTCTTAGGTTTGATAATAGGAACTTATTCTGACATTCAGCAGCCAGGGAATTGTAGAAAGCAAGTAGAAGTGATTAGAGACTATCTCCTCAATACTGGCTATTAATTGTATTTAGTCTTGTTAATTGGGCATTACAGCAGTTGAAACATTCCAGTTTATAAATGTTTTCATTTCAGTTATCATTTCTATTTTTTTATTGTCTCTTCTATATGCTAATATGTTTTGTGCTAAGTCTGTAGAAGAAATGTTAATTCAGGATTTTATCATTCAGGGCAGTCACCTTATTTGCTTGTTTCTTTATATTTCATTGTTTTACCTATATATATTATTCCTATTCATAATAAATAGTCACATCTAATTTTTGTTAGAGACTTAATGTTTTCATATTGTTTCATGTGCTTTTGTTTAATAAAATTTCATTTCACTTTATGTGGAACTTGTATAAACCGGATAGATTTAAATAAATTTTCATATCTTGTTCTCTTACACTGGCTACCTATAAAATATAGGATGGTTATTAAAATTTGCACGCTAATGTACTACTCTCTATATAAATTATTCTACAATTTAGAGGCTATTTTCCAAGTAACTATCATATATAAAAGTTAAATGAAAGCTTAAAGGCTCCTATTTATGGTCGTCTTATCGTTCCATCTTTTTCATAACTCCCATTAGAGGTTAGACACGATCAACAACATCGCCCATTGGTGTTCGATGCCTTTCTGACAATTTCACATCACATTTTTTTCCTCTACAGCATCACTCAACAGCTGGAGATTTGATACACACCATTTTTCTATGTCGTCTGCCAATCCCCTATTAAACACTCATTAGCTAAATCTGCGTTTGTTTATTCTGGCCCTTTTTTCTGGAACTCTATGTCTGACTTCTTTTTCATCACTTGCGAACTTAACAACAGATCTCAAAAACTATCATTTTTTAAAATTTATTGAGCGCAGTTGAACATTGCAAAATGAGATTTAAGAAATTTATTGCTTGGTTGAGTGGATTGGTTAACAGGATACATTTTCATAATTAATTTGGCTCTCCACTATTTCTTGATGATATAATGTTGCTAGCTTAATGTTTGTGTATTCGATTTTATAACATAATAAATAAACAAGCTTTTTGTTAGCAATTTTAAATTTTAATTAAATTTGTTTCGTGTTTTTAACAACCTGAAATTTTTTTTCATTACATCGCTAGACTAAATAATAAATATTTTAATTGATTTTAAAATATTTTATTGAAAAAAATGAAAATAATTTTGTTAAATAATTAATTATTAATAAATTAACCAATAATACTTGGTTAGCGCTAAAAGTTAGAGGCGTGTTAAGATGTCTAATAACAAAAAGCCAACAAATCAAAAACGTAATTTGATGGTCACTACTAACATTTTATACCTCATCCTCTTCTCTGTGGTCATCATCTACTTTGTGTCCAGTTATTTTTTTAAAAATTATTTAAAAAGTAATGCTGAGGAGTCATCCTTAATTGTTCATGTCGTCGTGAATGAGGATGAGAGCACAAAATCGAAAGAAGATACTGACAAATCATGCACTTTTCATACATGTTTCGATGTTTATAGATGTGGAACTAGTGACAACAGGCTTATCAAGGTAGGTATGGGACGATATGGTTGACAAAGTTAGGTTAGGGATTAGTAGCCCTGGGTGCTAGATAGATGTTCCCTTAATTTGTGGTCAGGGTTGATTATGTAGGATAGGTTATAGTAGCTCTGACAAAAAAGTCAACGTTTTTGTATAAATTTAATGGGGATATGGTTGTAAATATTCATATGTTGATAAATTTTAAAGTAAATTCGTCATGGAGTAAATTTTAAAACTAGTACTATAAATCTATTACCCTGGACAATAAAATTAACCAATTATTGGAGATCTCAAACCTGACCATATTATCACAGAACAAATTGTTAAATTTTTTCAAATAAATTAGCATTTCTATTAATAATTTTTTATTAATTTTATTAGATGTGTAAAATAGTATAATTGATTGTTTGTTTGATTGATTTCTTTTCACCCATTTATTCTTCCTCTCATTTTCTCATTAATCCATTTATTCTTTCTCTCATTCATTCAATCTATCAAATTTTTTACCTGAAATTACTTTCCACTAACACTTCTACAGGTATACATATACAAAGATTACAAATACTACGCAAAAGATGGAAGCCAGATAAAACTATTCACCTCCAAGCAGTTCAAACGACTGATACACGCATTGGAAAACAGTCCGTATTACACAAACAATGCCTCAGAGGCGTGCCTTCTAGTACCTCAGATTGACCTGCTCAATCAGGAATATGTGGATTCCAACTTAATTGCTTCGGTTCTGGAGCATCTGCCATTGTAATTGTCAATTTTGTTCATCTATTTGTTTATTATATTGTTTGTTAATTAATTAATTTGTTTATTTATTTGTTTTATTCCATTTTTTTATTATTTTATTTATTTATATTTTATTTTTTTTTATTCATTTAGTTAAAATAATTTTTGAGTGTCATTATAGAATGTAGTGTGTAATGTATAATATGATCGAAAAAAATAAATTATTTAAAAAAAAACCTGCCAGATATATATTTTTGGTTTCAATTTTTTCAGTTGGAACAAAGGGGCCAACCACCTCCTGTTCAACATGTTACCGGGGAAATACCCTGACTTTTTCACATCTCTAGAGATTAGACGGGGTATGGCGCTGGTGGCTGGTGGGGGCTTCTCGACGTGGAGTTACAGAAAAACTTATGACATTTCAATTCCTGTGTTTAATTTCCATACTGCTAGAGCTACTGATGATGAGTTACATAATGATTTGTTAATGGAAAGTTCAGAAAGGTGTGTGTGTCTGTGTGTGTGTGCATGTTCTTCATATTTTAATTTATTTATATATATATATTTCAATCTTCATCACATGAACTATCTTATCTGTTTACTCCATTAACTTTCCATATAATGTTTATAACTTTTATAATAAATAATTATAATATAATATTTAATAATAAATATTTAATATTACATAATATAAATATAAATACAATAGAATGATTTTTTCTTTCATTTAATAAAAAGATTAATTAATTAAATAATATAATATTTAATATAATATAAATACAATAGAATGATTTTTTCTTTCATTTAAATAAAAAGATTAATTAAATAATATAATATTTAATATAATATATAATATAACTAAAATAGAATGATTTTTTTTTCATTTAAATAAAAAGGTTAATTAATTAAATAATATAATATTTAATATAATATTTAATATAAATACAATAGAATGATCCTTTCTTTCATTTAAATAAAAAGATTAATTAATTAATTAATTAAAAATCAATTACACAGGCGACGCTGGCTCCTGACATCATCTCAGGTACACCTGCACCGTGATTATATGGAAGTTTTGAATGGAGTTCAACATGGTGGTAGATTTCTCTTGCTTGATGCATGTAGTGGTGTTAATTATAGTAAGAGGTGTGATTACAATGATGGCAGGGTGGAGTATGTCTATCCAGATGTTTTGAAGGTCTGGCTTCGTTTAGTTGTTTTTTAGTTTTGTGTTTGATTTTTTTTGTTTTTACGATTTTCGGTCGTTTGAAATTTTTTAAAATTTTTGTTGGTTTTTTTTTTCTTTGAAAACGTGTATTTTATGAAAAATTTGAAAAATCTTTTAGAAATATTTTGAGAAGTTTGGTTTATTTGAAGTTAGTTTTTGTGTGTGATGCTAAATATTTCTAATGAGGATAATTATGTGATGAAAATTTATTGATATGTGTATAAGAATGAGTCCTACCTCGGGAAACCGGGTCTCTGGACGCAAAACGAAGATTGATTGATTGTATAAGAATGAGAGAAGATTTGTGACAGTTACATACAGGCATACAATTTTAAACAAACTTACAAGTACACAAAACACTTCACACGCATCATATACACACACCACACACACATACACACACATCACATACACACACGCACTTTAACTTACAGTATTCTGATTTCTGCTTGGTTGTACGATCAAACAGACTCGGACAGATGGAGTTACTGGATTGCTTGATGCATGGAAGCATTCCAGTAGTCGTGGCGGATTCCTACGTCCTGCCATTCTCTGAAGTCCTTGAATGGAAAAGGTTTTAATGACTAGAAGACACACACACACGTAAACGATTCACACTAACACACACGTATTCACACAGTCGCACATAACGTAAAAGGTTTTAATGACCACACACACCCACACACACACACACACACACACAAACTATTAACACACAAAAGCACGTATTCACACACATACACACGTATCCTATCCACACGCACACACACGTATCCACACGCACACACACACATGCAGAGCTCTGATAACGTTAGATGAAGCCGACCTACCATCTATACTAAACCACTTGAAAGCCATCAACAGGCACAAAGTGATCCAGATGAGAGTGCAAGGGATGTTCTACTATAAAAAATATTTGAAATCCATGGAAGAGATTGCGCTAACCACTTTCCATATTCTGAATGATCGGGTTTTTCCACAGTGGGCTCGAACCTATGAAATGTGGAATGAAATTCAGGTCTGGATGAGTTTGTTATGTCTCTGTCCAGATAGATGTTTGTGAAATTGTCTAGTAGTACAGTAGCAATTGAGTTTTGAAGGATGATTTTGTCCTATTTTTTTTTAAAGTTTTATTTTACACCATCCAAATGCCGATATTTTAACTATTACTACCTGTTGTTTCATGAACTTCACAATTTGATCTAAATTTTTTTTTCGTTTTATCGCTTTTATAATTCATATAATTGTTTCAGGTCCCGATAAAAAATCTGTTCACCTTACCACTGACTGTTCCCAAAACATCTGGCTTCACTGCAGTCATCTTAACTTACGATCGTGTTGGTTCCCTGTTTGAAGTCATTCAACTACTGGCCAAAGTCGACAGTTTGTTGAAGATTGTCGTTGTCTGGAACAATCAAGTCAAGAGTCCACCACCAGGTTGGTCAGTCTGTTGGTTGGTTGGTTGGCTGGCTGGTTGGTTTGTTGGTTGGTTGGTCAGTCGGTTGGCTGGTTGGTTATTTGGTTGGTCGGTTAATTGGTTGGTTGGTCGATTAATTGGTTGGTTGATTTTTTGGTATGTTGGTTTGTTTTTATTTATATTTAATAATATTTAAAATTTATTCAGCCAGTGCCTGGCCCAAAGTTAATAAGCTCCTGAAAGTTATTAGAACAAAACGAAACATACTAAGTAACAGGTAACAATGAGTCTGGAAATCTTTCACTTTCAATATGTTTTACCATCAAACTTATTTAAAATCTTGATAGCCATTCTGTTTGCTGCTTTAAAATATCTTATTAAATTCGTTAAAATCTGTTTCATTGTTGGTAAAACTCACGCTTTTTCATCATATTTATATATTACAAAATTTTTGAATTAACCAAATCCTGTTACTTGAAGTATTAAATTTTCTAATTCTTAGTAATTTTTTACTCTAAATTTTGATTTTTTAAAACTTTAGTTGATCATAATTTCGAAATCTGAATAACTCAGAATCTAGATTTCTTGAATATCTTGACTAGTTATAATCTTAATTATTTGAGATCTCAATTACTCGAAATTTCAATTGTTAAAATACTTGCCAGATTCTACCCCTATCCAGACATTGAAACTGAGGCAGTGCTATCATTGGATGATGACATCAACATGCTTACAGCTGATGAGATCCAATTCGCTTATGAGGTTTGTTGTGCAGTTTTCAATTTTTTGTAAAATTTTTAAGATTAAATTATATTTTTGTAGCAGATGTTGACAAATTTTCGAGAAAATCCGTCGATTACAATTAAAATTAAATGATAGACATTCGGAATATACCCGTTATAACTTTTTATAACATAAAAAATTGTGTCAATATAAAGTGTATTCATTTGCAAACCAACCAAATAACTAACTAACCAGTCAATCAACCAACCGACCGACCAACCAACCAATTAACCTATCGACCGACCAAACTACCAACCGACGAATCAGGTGTGGTGCGAATATCCGGACCGAATAGTTGGGTTTGCATCGAGACTGCACAATTGGGATGCCAGGACGAAAATGTGGAAGTACGAATCGGAATGGACCAGCTCCATATCCATGGTTCTCACTGGTGCTGCATTCTATCATAAGGTAGATACGCTCATCATAACTTCGGTATAATTATCTATTCAATATTTTCCAAATGTATTAGTGACAAACATACAAGATTAAGATATGTAAAACATACGCTAATTAACACGTCACAAGTGCTATGCATGGATCTCTTTGCATCCTAACCCAATCACTGCAACATCACCACTGATATATATTTATATGCCAATTATATTGCAAAATTTATACAATACTATTGCGTTATACTGCGTTGAACAATCTCTATAACACAAGTAAGATTTGTACGTTATTCTTTTCTTCTTTATCTAGGCCTACGCCTTTTCTATTAAGCTATTTTATTTCTCTTTTTTGAATTCTAATTGAAGAATGATTATGATTTTGTGGTTAAATGTGATTACTAAAGTCTAAAATTATCACTCACCCTCAAAAAACAAAGTACTACCACCAAGTGTACACACACAACCTGCCAGCTGGAATGAAGGAATGGGTGGATGCGCAAATGAACTGCGAGGACATCGCTTTCAACTTCATGGTTGCTGTTATAACAAAAAAACCGGTGATCAAAGTTACTCCGAGACAGAAATTTAAATGTCCCCAGTGTCAGAACACTTCAAACCTCTCCAACGAACTAGACGCGCACATGTTCAAGAGGTCAGAGTGTATAAACAAGTTTACAAAGATGTACAACTTGACTGAACCTCCGTTGATAACTATCGAATATAGAAGCGACCCCGTACTTTATAAAAGTAATCAAGTCCCGAATGAATTCTTAAAATTCAAAGATGTCGGCGCGCTCTGACGAGGATGTAGTTATGAAGATTCGTTTGGCGTCGCTGTTTTTTTTGTCATACAGTGTTGGTTTTAATGTGTAAGGAGGTGCATTTGGTTGTTGTATCCACGACAGGCTTCATGTCTACATTGTGTTGTTTTTGTCAACGGTTCCTCTGCAGTCTTTTATGTTTAATTTATTTTGAAATTTTTATGCCGTGCATGTTCAAATTTAGATGTTTTTATGTTAAATATATGAATGTATTTATTTGTGTGTTAACAATATTTTTGATGTGTTAAATAATGTAAAAGTCATTTATGAAAATTATTCACAAACAATATGTCATTCTAAACTTACTTCAATGTGTTTTTAAAGCCATTATTTCATTACGTTGATCATGTTTTAAATGTATATGGGTATGAATTAAGACAAGCTCAGTAGATCAATTTTAGATTTTCATTCATTTCAATTTTGAACATTTTATGAACAACTAGTTCTTATTTCTTTTGTTAAGTAACTTTTTGTAATAACGTTTTATCCTAATTCAAAACTCCATTTATACATGAATAATTTTATATGCATTCAATAAATATTATTGTAAACAAACATAGCAAAACAGTTCTAATTGATGAAAGGCTTGCAAATATATCTTAAAAATTTCAACTTAACAAATTTTAATACAATACTGTAACTGGTTATCTCATGACACAATATGCAAAAATATTCAAGCGCACTACGCAAGAACTTTTAATAGATTTTTAACCACATTAAAATGTGGAAAAAAGCAACGATGGTATTAAAATATTAAGAACTAAAACAATAAAAAATGGTTAATTTTTCTTTTTCTCTCCCCTTGGTTTCCATGCCCTTAGTAAATTCCAAGCAAACCATAGACCAAATAGGTGAAGTTGTAATGCAATAACCAAGAACATGTTCCACAAAACAACAATTGGAAAACCGAGAAAAAGTTTTGTAGTTTCCCTTGTTTCCCAGTATTTCACCAATTCATCGAAAAGTGTTACCATCGCATATGCAACTGGTCCGAGTCCGAAAATGATCCACCCTATAACAAACTGTTGCATTAGAACGAAACGATTCTTGCGAAGAGAAAACAACCCAAACATGGAAGCCATGAGGCTGACTAGCCAGACATATTCCCACATCCAGGCTCGAGGTAGGCGCATACGTTGTAAGAAACTTGGGGGTCTTATATTGAGGAGAACGAAAAAACTAACTGACAGTCGGAAGATCATCAAGAGACCAAGTAGAAAATGCAAGTAGATTGTCCACTTGAATCTGCTTTTGTTAGTTGCACTGTGATTAAAGATTAAATTTTGTTTATATATAAATATAAAATTAAGTATTAATCAATTTAACAGTCGATAGTAATGCAAATAGCAGAAAACAGAAAACAAAAATATGATAAATTGTCAGAATATTGTTGTTTGAATCTGACAGTTAAAACTTTTTTGAACAACTGCAAAAAGTGCAACATAGCAAATTATAATAATTTAAAAAAAGAACAAAAATTTAAAAAAATAAAAACTGAAGTGACCTGGATTGATAATGCCCAGCAATTCTTTCTCTGTGCAAGAAATCAGTGCCATCTGATCCCATGGGTCGAGAACCAACTCTTGACGCCATGATAATTTAACTAATCACTAATTTGATTCTAACAATCTGCCGAGAAATATTTCTAAAGCTGTTAATAACGTGCAGTAAACAGTTGCTGAAAAAATTGCTGTCGAAATTTTTACTGTCACGAGCGTTGCTTCGTCTACGTTTTATTTCTCAACATTTTATCCTCAGGTTTGACGGATAAAAAAATTATTCTTTTACTTGTAAATTTACTATTTGAGTAAAAAAAAATACAAAACGCATTCATTAAACAATTTATTTTATGCAGTTTTATCATGAGACATTCATTATTTTGCATTTATTTGAAAAAACCCCCCCCCCGACAAAAATGAGCCATTTCCAAGTTTACGTGGATTCTACTTTTTCCAACAGTTGTTTATTTTTGTCGCGCTCGATAAGTTGAATTTTTTACTTTATTTTATTAAATTTATTAAATTAAATAATAGTTTAAATAACGTCGTAAAATAATGACAATTGACACTCCAAACATTAAATGGAAGTCAATTTCATTAACTCATGTTGAATATCCTGAAGGTATTGTAATTGAGTTAGAAATTTTCAAATTTTTTATTTAATAAAAAAATTTTAATATCAATTTATTATATAATTATAATTAAATTAAACTTTTTTAGTTTAAAGCTAATAAAAAGAGTAACAAAGCGAAGCATTATTTTGCAATTGTGCCACATAAATGCCACATTTATCCACTCGTATTATGTAAAAAATGTTTGTTAATAATTATATTATAATTATTTTGTTTCCAATTTTAAAATATTTTATTTTAAAAATCAAATCAGGTGATTTGGTTGGTCTGGGGTTGGCCTGGTGCTCCCTGCTGCCAATATTTATCCTGGTCTCATGTGGAACATTGATTGCCTTCAGAAGAGACTTACATACAGTCTGCTTGCTTTTCTTTTTTAAAATTTTCAGAAAATAGTATTTTTTAATTTCAATTTAAAATAATATAATTATTAATTGGCAAGATATGTAATATATAAAAAGAAAAAAATTGTGAGCTCTGTGTTATCCATATTTATTTTTACTTACACTTACATATTATGGGCTGAAGAACTATGAAAGAGCTAAGTCCAGAAGTTAGAAATAAGATAAGGACATAGTACTTTTGATATTAATATCATAGATATAGTATAATTAAATCTAATTTTAGATTATCTATTTTTATAATATATTTTTTATGTTTTTGGGAATAGAATTTGTAATATTTTATTTCTTCTCTAATATGGATTTCTTTCCTTCAGATATTCTTTCTGATTGGATTGGTTGTAGATGAAGGCTTGAATTTTGTATTAAAATCAATCATCCAAGAGTACAGACCTATGTGTAATTTCATTTATTTCAAATATTACATTACAATTTTATTATTATTTTCTTCATTATCATAATTAATATAATCATAATTATTTATAATCATAATTTTTTCATAAATGGTAATTTATTCTCCAGCCAGATCGGTAATCTTCACAGAGTATGGAATGCCATCTAGCCATGCTCAGTTTATGTCGTTCTTTGCAGTTTACATGGTTCTATTTCTTTGTATTAGGTAATATCCTTATTATAGTTAATATTATTTTTGAGTTTTGTCAATTTTAGTATTAGTAATATTAATAGTTATTGGCTATTTGTCTTAGTATTAGTAAAAGTAATAGTAGCAGCAGTTGTAGTAATAATATAGTTATTTATTATTATAAAATTTTGTTAAAAAAATTAATAATAATAATTTTATTAAAATAAAATTTATCATCAGAGTTCATCACAATTCTCCAACGGGTATCATCTGGAAACATCTATCCTGCATAGGTGTGCTAATTGCTGCCTTGCTCGTTTGCTATAGCAGGTTATTATAACATGCATAACAATAATAATAATAATTAGATATTTTTAATAATAATAATTATTATTATTATTACGATTGCTGTTGTAATGACCTGGTTTGAATGCAACAAAATCCCTACCCTATATATGTTGGATGCATTGATTCGTGTGTGTTTGTTGTTGATACCTGTGGGAAATACTTGAAAGAATTGAAATAAAGAAATAAAATACACTGAACTACAGAGTTTACCTGCTATACCACACAATTGATCAAGTTACATGGGGTATTGTTGCTGGCTCGGTTATGGGTTCCATTTGGTTCCTCAATGTCCATTTCATATTTTCTAACTATTTTCCACTCATTGCCTCATGGTTAGTCTGCAGATTGTGGAGTTATTCTTTATTTGGTTTTTAAATTTTAAGATTAAGATTAATTTTTACTGAATTATTATTTTATTTAATTTTTCAATTTTCTAATTTTAACCTGCAAACAAAATAAATAAATAAAAAATATATTGAAAAAAATTCATCTATCCCTAATTTAGGTGTATTAGTGAATATTTCATGGTTAGAGACCTCACTCCAATACCGAATGTCCTTTGGTTTGAGTACTGCTCATACAGAGCTGAAGCTAAATCAAGGCAAAGAATGATAAATAATAAGAAGTTATGAAATTTGTGGACATATCAAGAAACATTCTGTATTATTTATATCCTTTTGTTTATTTATTTATATTTTGTTGTCATTTTGTCATTTTTGTTTTTCCAATTTTTGTCATTTTTATTTATTGTATAGGGGTTTATCGTTAATTTCAATTAATTCCTTAATTCTTTTGATTGCTGCTATTGCCATTATTGTAGGTATTTTAGTTTTTTGACTTAATAGTGGGTTAAACAGAGGTTCACAACAAACATACCGTGCACATAGTTTAGATAATTTTTGAATTTCACTATGTACATCAATTTTTTCCATTGGTTTTTTGTTATACTTATTTCATAATAAATAATTACAATAATCAAATTTGGACAATAACAAACAACGTGCCAGATTCCCAGCCAGATCGATTGATAAAAACTGTCTTTATCAGCAATTATTAACAACTCAATCTTTACTTCTAATTATTATTTTTCTGTTTTTTTTTTTTTTGAATTTTATTATGTAATGCAGGGGTGGGCAAACTTAGCAGTGAGGGCCGCATTGAGAACGATTTTACCTTTGAAGGGCCGCATATGTACTTAAGATAGCAAATTTTTTCGACCCGGGGGAGAATTTTTTTTAAGATTTATGGCTCCTTTTTTGGTCATAATGTCTGGCTGACGGTTTTTTATTTGGCGGGTCGCATAAATTAGCTTCTTGGGTCGTAGTTTGCCTGCCCCTGATGTAATGTATTAATTGTCTTTTGTTTTTTATTTACAACATATATGTAAGATTTTTCATTGCCATAGGTAATTTTAAAAATATTACTTATGCAATAATTCCCATGGCCAAATAACGCACTTTTTTTCGTATGAAATGTAAAGAAAACGTTTAAAATATCGTTGCGTTAGTTTTTAGTTTCTTTTTTCTAGCTGATGGTTGTAGGCTGTACTACAAATGACAATATTTTAAGAGGTTTCGTTTTATTTCAATCGTTGGTTCACATAATGAAACTATTTTCAACATTTATTAGTAGCTTCAATAAGTATTTTTTGGCTGCTGTCACGAATTCTTATAAAACTAACCTCGCCCAAGATTGTTATAGATATATTATGATTTCTTTTGTCTAATTTTATTTTTTAGGAAATACTCCACCAAACTTAAAACTTTGTCTAATTTTATTTCTTAGGAAAGACTCCATCAAACTTGAGACTTTGTCTAATTTTATTTCTTTAAAAAAACCGTCATACCCAAGGGACCTACAATTAGGTGATTTGTTATCCTGCTATCACTGTGTTCAAAATTTAATAGGTAAAAGGTGGTAAATAAATACCACAGGTGTTAAGAATTGAAAAAGTTACACCTGGCGAATCATCACTTTTTAAAAGTTATTTAGTTTTTTTACTATTGTTTCTTATCACATATTTAGGTTTGTCATCTTGCAGCTTAACGTTAAATTAATTTCACCTTAAATTAACATCATTTTAATACCTAAAAAACAATTGGAAACATATGAAAACTGTTTACTTCACACACGAGGTTTGAGGCTCGTTATTTTTATTTATAATTAATTATTGCAAAATTCACAATATAATGATAATTCCAACCTAAGCAGTCAGTTTTTGCGGATGACAAATAAAAACAGTGTAACGTAATGCAATGTTATATATATGTAAAGTTGTATGTCCTCTTAATATGTGTTACCAAAATATGGAAACCAGTTGGTCAGTTATAAAATGTAAATAAACTTTTAATTTTTGCTTATACTCACCGCTAGGTGGACAAAAACATAATTTGTAGTCGCTAGAAAATACTTCAAATTCCTAAATAAAACTTCAAATCTTCGTTAAACATGACCTTTTAATCCTTTATTTTTATTTACAACTTAGAAACTTATAAATATTTTACACATATAATAATTATAAACACCAAAATCAATTCTCTTTCATTGATTTATTAACTAAAATTTGGTGATGAACCCATACGACTCCATATCCGACTCCAATACGTTCGGTCCGATTCCGATTCGACTCCAAAACTTTTTTGGGGGCCGAAAGGCTTACACCCAATTTGTTATAATTAAAATAAGGTAAAAGGCCGAAGGTTGCAGTAAAATTAATATTATAACATTTATTAACATATATATTAACATTTTTTGATAAGTGTTTTATACGACATTTTTATTAAACATTAAACCAATAAAACTAAAATTAACTTAAATTGAAATTAATTATTTTATGATAATGATAATGTAGTGCACTGATTCAGTAACTCTTATACAGTAAAACAATGGCTTTAAAGACAATCAAGCATAATAATAGCCTGTATTTATAGAGCGGTTTGTGCAGTGCCACATGTATAAAACTTAATCGTTGAATAAATTATTGTTCAATAGGTAGTTGTAAAAATTCATTTGTTGATATATGAGAATGAGTTTTGTACTAAAACGTATGTTTAGACGTGGCAATTTTAATTTATTTTGAGTTAAGTTTTAAGTGTGGATTTGTTTGGTATGTAATTTTCAGAAGTTTAATAATAATTTATATTTAAAAAACTGTTTAGCTTATTTGTTTCGTTGTGCGTAAACTTCTGTCATCAAAATTGTTATGTTGGTTGCTTGAATTTATTCAAGAAAGAATAGGAAGGATTTTGCAGAGTTTAATTTGAAAATTTCTAAATAAGATTAACAAACTTATTAAAAAGTTGTACAGTTTCTAGAATTAATTCGCAATGAGATTTCGCTTTGCAGGTATAGTGATAGAACTAGAGAAGAGAGGCCTTGTAACAATAATACTCCTGTCTTCGTTGTTGGTTCTTCTTGTAATCTACACCCTACATTCGACTGGATTGGTTTTCTCTAAGAGAATCAGTCAACGAGAAACATTTAAACCATTACCAGCACTGATTGACGCGGTAAAAAAAAATGTAGGGAAAATAATCGAGCCGGATTCAAACATTGACATTCACGAAGGCCAGTATGAAAATGATGCCGATGATGATGACCAGGAAAAGGAAGATCAAGAAGATGAATACAAGATGTTTGATGTTCCTCCTGTTCAAAATAAAATTTATCCAATAAAAATGGCAATGGAAACTATACCTCAAGCAGTCCGGAAAAAGATGCAACTTGCGGCTAAAGCTATGTCGGCACCACACAGACCGCCTGACAGCCATTACAACATCAATGTGACTCTTAGTGACATGACATCGTTAGACAGGGAGCTACCTGATACAAGACCGCCCATATGTGCCAAGTTGAAGTATGACATCAAATCTCTTCCCAAGGTCAGCATCGTTATTCCGTTTTTTAACGAGGCGCCAACGATGTTGCTGAGAAATATACACAGTATTCTCAATCGATCGCCTGATGAATTGTTAGAAGAAATTATCTTAGGTAATTTTTTTTTATAAAATATTAATTAATAATTGTTTTATTCATTGATAGTTTTTAGCAATTAATGAATTTATTAGTACGATTGGCTATTTTAGAAATTATAAACATTACTATTTTTTTAAGTTAAACAAACATAAATTTTAATATTATATTGCAAAATCAGTTTCAAAACATTTCCTCCCCACATTTCTGCATTCAGTGGACGACCTCAGCTACGACGCCCCCCTGATGGAGCCCTTGGAAAGATTCATAAAGAACATTCCTCGCATCTCACTACTTCGCAACGACCAGAGAAGTGGGTTGATCGTATCGAGAATGCGAGGAGCCCGCATCGCTAAAGCTCCGGCGATAATTTTCTTGGATGCTCACTCGGAAGTTAACGAAGGATGGCTGGAACCCTTGCTCGATCAGCTGAGAAAGAATCCGAAACAAGTTTTGCAGCCGTTCATTGATGGAGTGGATAACATGAATTTGCAGTTTTCAGCTCCTTCCGTCTACTTCAAAGGCACTTTTAGCTGGGATTTACGGTAAGTTTGATTCAGCTTTGTGAATTAAATTTTTAGTCGTAAAAAAAGTTAAATGTGCTTCAAATTCCATGATATTTTGCGTTCTCTGTTAGCCTTTGTTTAATTATTTCTTTTCACAGGTATACCTGGACGAAAATTGCAGATCACGAGCAAGAGAGAGCTGTTGAAACTGGTGAACCGTTCATAACTCCTACTTTGGTTGGTTGTGCCCTGGCTGTTATGAAGGATTACTTTTTTGATATTGGGTCATTCGACGAGGGCATGTACGTGTGGGGAGGAGAGAACATTGAACTGGCCTTCAGGGCCTGGATGTGTGGAGGGAAAGCAGTTACAGTTACTTGCTCCAGAGTTGGCCACGTATTCAAACAATCTCCAAACAAATTTGATGGAACCAAAGGATCGAAAGAGGAAACCGTTCAAAAAAATTTAATAAGAGTTGCGGACGTATGGATGGATGGAATGCGAAAGTTTTTCTATGGCACGACATTGATGTTTGATTTCAAAAGACTTAAATTAGGACCTGCTGATTTGAAAACACTGAGAGAGCGGACCGAACTGAGAAAAAAATTGAAATGCCATAATTTTGAATGGTACTTGTATAATGTTGTACCTGAAATGCTCGATCTCCCACCAATGGAAAGTAAATACTTTGGAGAAATCATGAACTTGAAATCTCGAGCCTGTTGGGAGATAACAGAAGATTATTACGTTGGCATGACGTATTTTTGCTTTGAACATAAAATAATTCCTAAAAATAACTTCGCCATTATGAAGAACGGATTAATGACTTACCGTGACAAATGTGTAAAGATCAACCAACCGAAACCGTATTTAACACTAGCCGAATGCCCGCCTGAATCGGAAATAGACAAATTTGGCAAGTGGGATTTGGTGAACTATGGAATGAACTGGGGTGGCATAAAAGTCAGCATAGTGAAGGACGACGGAGTGGTGGTATATTGGTGCATCGTCCAGGTGACAAACGCCATGCCACAGCATAGATCCGAACAAATGCCTCAACTCGGAACTTGCGATAGCAGCGATAGCTTCCAAATTTGGTCGTTCACATACGCTGTTGATTTTACACTGGTGCCTGAATACATGAGCGTCTATGAACAGAAGTTATGATCAATTGTGTTTTTTCTTTTTTTTTTTTAATATATATATATATATATATATATATATATATATATATATATATATATATATGTTGGTAATAGACCATAATTTTTACAATATTCTATAAATTCTACCGAATGTTTGGCGTTAATATGTTTGTAGTTCGTTTTTTCGATTTTTCTCACTAAAGTTTTTTGGTGAACGTTTAGTTTATTAAAATTCAAAATAAACTTATTTCTCGAATTCATGCTGCAAAGGGTAATTCACATCAAAGTTCAACTTTACAACACCA